AAGGCTTTTAGCTTGCAGTTGAGTAGAAAGGTTGTGGGGCTCAGGAGAGGGCTATACAATTTTACTTCGAGTCTGGGAATGTAGCACAATTATTAGAGTGCTTGGCTAGCCTGCGCAAAGCCCTGGGTTGGATCGTGAGCACTTTAGAAACTGGGCAGGATGGTGCAGGCCTCTAACCCCAGAATTTGGGCAATGGTCACAGGAACCTCAGGAGTTCGAGGTTATTCTCAGACCCTACCTCAAAAACAAACAAACAAACAGCCCCCCCCCCAAAAAAAACACAAGGCTTTGTTTTTTGTTTTGTCTTGTTTTGAGATATCTTGACATATGACTATTTAAGTCACTAATCAAGGTACTGACTGCACAGACCCAGCCCTCCAGCACTAAGAAATCAGGAAGGAACCAGACTTAGTGGCATGCCTTCACACACATTTGTAACTCAAGCATTTAAAAAACTGAGTCAGGAGAACCATGAGTTCAAAGTTAGCTTGAGTTATATGGTATACTGTATTTCAAAAACAAAACACAGAAACCTGGTGTCTCACCATTGCTGTAACTCCAGTTCAGTTCTGGGGATCTGATGCCCCCTGCTGGCCTCCGGGGACATCAAGCATGCTTGTAGTGTACATGCATACATCCAGGTTAACACCTACACATGTAAGTTTGGTTCTTATTGTTGTCGTTTTAATTAAAAAGCAAACTAGAGCTGGGTGGTAGTGGCGCACACCATTAGTCCCAGCACTTGGGAGACAGAGGCGGGTGGATCTCTGTGAGTCAAGGCCAGCCTGGTCTACAGAGCTAGTTCCAGGAAAGGCTCCAAAGCTACACAGAGAAACCCTGTCTCAAAAACCAAAACCAAACCAAACCAAACAAACAAACATAAAACCCTAGAGACAGAGAGAGGAAGAAGCCCTGGGATCAGCCACAGCAGGACAATGGAAGAAGGGTTTTTAGGAGGGAGGGAGGCCTCTAAGAATGAAACCTCACCACTGAAGGTCACTGATGACCATGAAAGAAGGGTCTTTCACCAGAGAGGAAGGTTCTGCCGGGATGAACCTTTGTTCCTTTGACAAAGCTTACTAGAAAGAGGCGCATAGCCTGGGGGTCCTGAGCTGGCCCAGTAGAGGGTACTGAATGGCTTCTTAGCCAGAACATTTTTGTAGGGCCCAGTGGGCAAGCCATCTTTAGGGAAAGTGTCCAGAATTCTTAGCATAGAGCAGGACTGACTATTCAGTTTGGTTCCCCAGGGCTACACACCTACAATGTGCCTGTCACTTGTGTGGCTGCCACCAGAAGGTGCCTAAGTGTGACATTAGATCCCACAAAGGAGCCTCGAGGTAGAGGCCGAGTCAAGACAGCTCAGGTGGCTGTTGAGGGGTCAGCTTGTTCTATTTACAGTGGGCATTTCCGTCCTTTAGAGAAGCTGCCAGCCTTTCCTGTAGCCCCAGTAAAACCATGACTGTGTGTTAAGATTTGCTCAGAGCCTGTGGCTCTTTTGAGGAATTCACTGAAAGGTGTGGTAATTGAATTCCTGTCCAATCAGGATGCTTATTCCCCAAACCTTGTCAAAAGTTACAGGCTAGAGGCATGGCTGTCTGGTTAAGGGCACTTACTGTTGTTGGTTTGATTCCCAACAACACAGCTTACAACACCAATGACTCCAACTTCAGGGAATCTGGTGCCTTCTCATGTCTGTGCAGAGCTACACACACATGCACATCCCCTCCCCACATGCACATAATACGGAAGATGATGATGATGATACAGCCTGGACCAGAGACACAGACTCTTTCCCCATCCTAGAGACTCCCATCAGTTTCCCTTTGTCCTTGTAATTTTTCTTCTAGGTTTTATTTTGCAGTGCTGAGGATGAAGCCAGGGTTTGAGCACACCTGACACACATTCTACCCCTGAGCTACCGCTCAGACCTTTAGTTAGAACACATTCATCTAATAGAACAGCCTAGCAATGGCCAGAGAGAGGGTCAAGAGGACCCCCACGCACACCCAAACTCCATACACGGTTAAAATAGGATCCTGTCACCACTTCTAGATGTTTTTGGGCCAGTTCAAGCTCTTAGGCCTCTTCATTCCTGGGCAACCGATGACGTTGTTCTGCTGGTTAAGAGCGTGTGTGGGGTTCTGTTCTGCATTTTGTCCGTTCAGCCCTGTCACATTCTAAGAGCAGCTGGGGTCACTGTGTCTGCTGATTTAGGAGGGTTCTGCTTGGGGTTGTGAAGGAGAAGGTTGCAACGGACATCCTATCTTTTGTGTGTTTGTGCTTCTGTGACAGTTGTCTCTATAGGATAAATTCTTAGAGGTGTTGTTAAGTTCAAGTTACAGACCCCTCATTTTGAGACAACTTGCCTTGTCTTAGTCTGTTTAACTGTTATGCCCTATTACCTGTCCACCAGCTACACTGAATGTGAGGGCCTCTTCCTACGCCCCGCACATGCAGACATACTGGCCATCATCAGTAGGGTTTAAGTGGTGCCAGTCTGAAAGCTGCTAAAAGCTACATGCTTCCTTTTAATTCCTAGCCCTCTTTAGTCACGTAGCTCAAGGCCCTGGACATGTTGCTTGTTAGAGACACTCCTGAATGAGAAAGAGGTCCTAGAGTTGGGTACCAAGGTCTTGGCTCTGGCAGATATCTTGCGTTTGTTGGTTCCTCTCTAGACAGGCTCTGGGAATTTATTATTGGGTGCAGACATGGTTCTGCCTACAACCTGTGGGTGGCACAGTAACTGGCATACATGTAAAAACCTTAGAAGCAGAGTGCCCTCATCCTGTGGGTGAGCTGTGGCAGTTCACTTTCTTCCTGAGACCTCAGTTCTCCCCAGTCTCCCTAGGGGGATGCCAAGGGACCCTTAGGACTGAGGAGTCAGTCCCTCTTGGGACTGAGGCATTGTTTGTGGCCTGAAAACCCTGGCAAACACCCCCTCCCAAGAGTGTTTCGAATGAGTTCTAGCCTGAATGTGAGGCCTGTACATTAGTTTGGGGGATGGGGCAAGCCATGTGGGAGACCCAGACTTAACCTGCAGAATCTCCAGAGCTTTTACCTTAGATGGCTCTGAGTCTTCATGTTGCTGGCTGGTGGGCATGTGTGTATATGTGCCCTTTCATAGTTGGCTCTAAGCCTCCATGTGGCTGGCTGGTGGGCATGTGTGTATATGTGCCCTTTCATAGTTGACTCTAAGCCTGCATGTGGCTGGGTGGTGGGCATGTGTGTATATGTGCCCTTTCATAGTTGGCTCTAAGCCTGCATGTGGCTGGGTGGTGGGCATGTGTGTATATGTGCCCTAATAAGCACACCTTTTTATTCTTAGAGTGGGTCAAGCCCCTCTTGGCTAACTCTTTTTGTTCCCTGGGGTATGAGAGCCAGGTGGGCACCTCATAAAAAGCCTGAGAAGCATCTCTACCCACAATGCTTCTGCAGAAGGTCCTGGTGCACCTGCCTCTCGACTCTGTCTCAGACTGAGGGGAAGGAGTTGGGAGCCATGTGGCCTAGTTTTGGCCCAGTATATGAGTGCTTGTCCAGGGCATCTCCAGATGAGGCAAAAGCCCATGGGGACAGTCTCACTCAGCAAGGCCCAGTGAACTTCAGGACAGCATAGAATACTGCTGGGGCCGTGTGGCCTGCACACTCTCTTCTCTCTTGTAGTATTGATGATTCTCTTGGCACTATTAGTGTCATTTTGTCAATCTTGCATGGGACAGATGTAATCACTCCTGGAAACCCCATTTTTTTTCTTGATATATTTTCCCCTAAAATTCTTTGGAAGCTGATGCTTCTCAGGTTTCTTGTCTGGGGATGGCAGCTGTCACTCCAGACCTCAGGAGCTGTTCTGACTTAGTGCTGACAGGATCGGAGGCAGATCGCCCCTATTTCTGTAAATATGTTTTGAACGAGATTGTTGCTCTTGAAAATGTTTGCCTATGTCAACTACCTTTTAGTTTTTTTTTTTTTCCTTACCTTTCACACCTTTTAGTTTTGTAAGGACAGGATGTGCCTGGCTTGATATTTGGCCAAGCTAACAAAATGGTGTTTTCTTGGTTTAAAGATGTTTTGATGTAAACATTGGGAGAAAACATATTTGACATATTTTTGCCAGAGTTAACATTGGAGGATGGGAAGAACTTGTTTGTTAATATGGATAAACACCCTTGTTTTTGATGTATAAATAAAGACGGCTGGAGCTATTCAGGGCTGACCACTTGTGTGAAATTCATTTGGTGGTGGGGCAATTCATTTCTTTGCACCAAAGCCCCTTCCCCATCTCAGGACCTGAACCTAGGCTGTGACTTGACCACTCCAGGAAGGCCTTCCCAATTGTGGACGCTGCCTGGTCTGATACAGTGAGTTCGTTAGTGCTTTTGAGACCCAGAGCCTTGGCTTTGGGCAGTACAGCAGTCCTTGGTTCCCTGTAGGGGAGTTTGCTAGGCAGAACTGTGTTAGAGAACTGGGTGTGGTGGTCCATGAGGCCCTGGGCGGTGTGAGACCCCCTGTCCAGCTGGCATAGACACACCCCTGACCAAGGGCTTCCTGTGGTCTTGTACTATAGCCTCTCTTTCCTGGGGCCTCAGAATCCCTAACAGGCAGTGCCTGGCAGAGCCTGTCATTTTTATCCTCCTTAGGTTTTTTTCCTTCTTCTTCTTTGGTGTGTGACAGGGGGTTACATATAGTTCAGGCTGGCCTGGGATTGACTGTGTAACTCAGGATGGCCTCAACCTTGTAGCAATCCTCCTGCCTCTGCCTCCTGAGTATTAGAATGACAGATGTGAGTTACCACACCTGGTTTCCATCCTCTTTAAATAAAGGATCCCAAGTGTAATACATTTAAAAATACTGTGTTCGTAAGGGCAGTGTCTGCTTGTAGAAGAATCATCAGAAACCTGGGAAGGAAAGAAAACGGCAGGGACTCTGCCCCAGCGACTCAGCCCTAAACGTGTTGACCTTGTGCTGAGGGAGCTTCATACCTGACTTAGTGTTCTCTCCTACAGGGAAGTCCCACCTGGCCATCGTGCAGAAGGTGAACAATGAAGGGGAGGGCGACCCCTTCTACGAGGTGCTGGGCTTGGTCACGCTGGAGGACGTCATTGAGGAGATCATCAAATCTGAGATCCTGGACGAGTCGGACATGTACAGTGAGTACAGCCCTCTCCACGGGCCCAGAATCCCATGGCAGCTCTGAAATTAGTGTCCTTAGGTAGCAAGACTTCAGTTCAGGGGTGTGGGGCCCCGGCCCACTGAGCCAGGCCTACTGGCCAGCCAGGTGCCCTTCACCTGTGGTGAGGAGGGAACACGATGCTGAGCGCAGTGCCTGGAGTCCTCCTCTGTCCTCCCTGTGGAGAGGGGCCTGGACACTAGAGAGTCAGCTTCTAGCCCTCAGACTTCTCTTTTTACAGCTGATAATCGAACCCGGAAACGGGTATCTGTGAAGAACAAACGAGACTTCTCTGCCTTCAAGGATGCTGACAATGAACTCAAAGTGAAAATCTCACCTCAGCTTCTTCTAGCTGCTCATCGCTTCCTGGCCACAGGTAAGAGTATGGGAAGTGCCTTCCTCATGGGTGGAGGTACAGTCACAAAGGGGGTAACCGTGAGCCTCTGGCCACTCCTCCTGGAGAGAGAGAGCAGTGCGAGCTGGGACACATTCACTCTGGAAGGGTTCAGGTATTCTCCTTCCTTCTTTGTTCACCATGACTGGCTATCACAGACTTCCAGAAACAATCTAGCTAACAAAGCAAGCACTGAGACTTCCAAGGGATACCTGGGAGCCCCAGGCCCTTCAGGCTGTGGCCCTGCCGTGTGCTCTGCCCACTCCTGGCCTGCTCACCTGCCCTGAGGAGCCTGTTCCCAACACCAACTTACCCACTAGTTTCCGCCTATGCAGGGGAAGACCTTGTGCCCCCAGGTGAGCCTGCAGAGCTGACTTGTAAATCAGTGGCATTTCTCTCTTATCACCTCTAATTCAGACGGGCCTGGGTGACAGTTCAGGAAAACACTGGCTACCCATGCTGTCACTCTTACTCCAGCTTCCTTCTGGCTTACCTGCTAAAGGTACAAGAATTCCTTTCCCTTTGTGTTTTCTTGCTAGTAGTCGTTGGTGCAGAGAGTAGTAATTGTTTGTAGGAACACTTAATGAACATTCTCAAGGGAAGAATGCGTCTAACTGTTGGGTCATCTCACTTGACCACCCAGGGGAGTTTTGTCCTCATCTTACTGATGAGAAAACTGAGATGGGTAAGTCCAGTCATCTGCCCAAGGTCATGGCTGTTAGTACTGGAGCCCTGTGGGTGGACAGATTCCATTCAAGCAGCAGAGGCCAAGCCTGGCCCTTCCCAGGAAGATGCAGCTTGAAGCAGTGTCCCAAGCAGGGAGGACTTAGTACAGAGTGGCCATGGCCACTTAGATGTTGATTCAGCAGTGACCCGGCTCCGGGGCTACCTGGTACCAGCCCCATGTGAAGTTTCCCCTCTCTCTCTCCCACAGAGGTGCCCCAGTTTAGTCCCTCTCTGATATCAGAGAAGATCCTGCTCCGACTGCTCAAATACCCAGATGTCATTCAGGAGCTCAAGTTCGATGAACACAACAAGTACTACGTTCATCATTACCTGTACACTCGGAACAAGCCAGCTGACTACTTCATCCTCATCCTGCAGGTGAGCCTCTGATGCTGAGCCTCAGAGCACAGGCCACTCGCCCCTCCAGCGCCTGCATCTCCTGCTTCCGATGGGCCCTTGGAGAGTGTGCAACCTACGCTTGAACCTGTGCTCCAGGTGCTACTCTTGTGCCCACAGGTCAAGGCCTTGAACACTGCAGGGCTCTGGGGCCAGGCTTCACACCTCTCTGTTTTGTAGAGCTGCCCAGTTTAACTCCTCTCTTATTGCCACACAGGCTTCAAACCACCTGTCTAAGCTGTGTTGTAATCTTAACTGCATGTTCTTCCAGGGGAAGGTGGAAGTAGAAGCAGGAAAGGAGAACATGAAGTTTGAGACGGGTGCCTTCTCGTACTATGGGACCATGGCCCTATCCTCGGCAGCCTCGGGTGAGTTGTGGACCAGGTCCCTGTGACCTCCTGACACTTGTAAATTAAGGGCAGCCTTGATGGCTTGTAGCAGAAGGAGGCAGGTAAGGGCCAGAGCTGCCAGGCCTAGGGGAACAGGATGACCTTTCCCATTGGAAGGCTGAGGTAGTGAGGGGAGGGACTGGCTGCTGCAAGGACTGCAGACAGGGATGGTCAGGGAGTCTGGCAGTTCATGGGCTTTGGAAATTGAAATGATCAACTGCCCTTGACTACAGACAGCCTGATGAGATTAAGATGGACCAGTAGGAGACTCCTATACCATCACTGACTAAATCATCAGGGCAGAATAGGAGGCACATGAAGGTTAGGGACTAGGGATTTGGGGTACACACAGTACTGGTGTTGGGAGGTAGCTCCGAGCCTGTTTGCCTGGATAAGTTGTAGATGACTTCGGCTTCCCAGGGCCTCAGCTGTAGTAATAAGAGCGGCGGCGGGGCTGCATTCCCAGCACCCCGGCCACCTGCCCGGCTAGCTCAGTCGGTAGAGCATGAGACTCTTAATCTCAGGGTCGTGGGTTCGAGCCCCACGTTGGGCGCCATATGTAGTAATAAGAGCGGCGGCGGGGCTGCATTCCCAGCACCCCGGCCACCTGCTCGGCTAGCTTATGCTCCAAAATAATTACACAGACACTGTATTCTTTTTTTTTTAAATATTTATTTATTATGTATACAATATTCTGTCTGTGTGTATCCCTGCAGGCCAGAAGAGGGCACCAGACCCCATTACAGATGGTTGTGAGCCACCATGTGGTTGCTGGGAATTGAACTCAGGACCTTTGGAAGAGCAGGCAGTGCTCTTAACCTCTGAGCCATCTCTCCAGCCCCCCCAGACACTGTATTCTTTTAAGCACTGCTTGGCCCTTTAGCTCTAGCACTTACAGGCTAATTCTCACATCCCGATCAACCCATCTCTAATAATCTGTGAGAACCGGTCTTACCGGGAAGATTCTAACCTAGTCCATCCTGGGTTGGAGCTTCATGCCGTGTGTCTGCCCGGGAGCGGGGCATGGCTCATCCCGGGAGCGGGGCATGGCGTCTCTCTCAGGCATCTGCTCCCGAGAGGAGAGATGTCGAGACTCTGACCTCACTTCCTCTTCCTCCCAGCATTTTGTTCTGTTTACTCCACCCACAGGGCCAAGCAGTTTCTTTATTGGCCAATGACCTTCCTCCATCACTCAGCTACTGCATTTTGTTCAGGTTTGGTTCTGATAGTAGGGGCGATCATTGGGAGATAGGTCCTGGGTGGCCCAGGCGTCCCCTGGCAAGTCTCATCCTCCTGGACGTTCCCCTGTGTGGACACTCTGACCTTGGCAGGGAGGGGTGTGCCAGCTTACCTCAGGGAAAGAATAAAAGCTATCTTTGGTGCCTAGAGCAGGCGATGCCAATAGGGCATTGCTGTAACTCTTAAAGAATCCCGGTGCCACGCTTGTCACTGTCCTGTCCCTGTGCTCCTGCTGCATAGCGCTGAGGCACCCTCGGATATCAACACAGCACAGCCACTGTATTAGGATGAGCCAGGGTGTTATGGGCTCCCAGGGCAGGATCCAGGGCAGACAAGTTGGGCTACAGAGCAATTGCACCTCACCTGAACCCACCAGGCCTAAGGAAGCCTGACCTGCTCCTACCCAGAGAGAGCATCCTTGCCTTTTGCTTAGGGAATTTTTGATAATTTGGAATGGAGGCCTGGAACTCCTCATCCTCCTGTTGTATCCACCTAATGTTTGGGGAATTCTTGTTCAGAAGGGACTCCTCTCAGTGCTGAGGTAGAGAACTCTCTGGGTCTTGGGCTCAATCACTTGACCCTAGGTCATCACATTACATTTGGCGTGGCTGGAAGGCAGGGGAGATGTCTCTGGGTACACTTACTCTGATAGGGCTCTTTGATCTATCCTGAGCACCCTCCCATCTAAGAGACACACTTAGACTGTGCCCCACTCCCACTTCACCCTGCTTGAGGTAGCCTGGCCCATCGAACCTGCCTCTCCATCCTGTTCCTGTGGCTTGTGACCCTCCCCTGGTCACTGACTTCCTCCTCTGTTGCTCCAGCGCCTCCTGTGCAGGCTGGGTGTTCACCCAGCAAGCTGAACTCCCTGCTCACCTGGCTCTCAGGTAACCTGGCATGCTGGAGAAGTGCACAGTGCCACCTGTTGCTAGAGCTTTGTACTGCAGCTGCACTAATAGCTCCGGTAGGAACCTGGGAACTCCCTCCTAGGCACACTTAGGGTCCAGCCTGATTCTTAATGGGTGTTGTCTCTGCGTGACCTAGAACTCAGTTTCTGGATGGGTTTGCCACAGTCTTGGAAGGGCCTTTCCAAGGGTCTTTCGGTCCTTGAGAAAGCATCATCAACAGACAGACACATACAATGCTCATTACAAAACCCATTAGGTTTGGGAGTGGAGGATTGTCTTACCAAGTCAAGTGCACACGCTCAGCCTGTGTCTGCTGTGGCCTGGAGGAAAGAAAGGCCAGCTGGCCAGCACCCTGCTCCCACTCGCTCACAAGCCTCTGCAGATGGCATGTCATTCCACTAGCTTTCTTAGACCTTCTCATCCTTCTTCACAGCCTACTGAGTAAGGCTGCAGGACGGCAGCATGAGGCATCTCCGCCTGTTGTTCTTAGCCAAACTCCACCCCGTCTTGTTTTTTCTCACTTGAAAAATGGAACTAACACTGTACCCACTTCAAAAGCTTGGGACGGGAGCAGTAAGTGAGATAACTGATGTAGAATATGCTGAGCCCAACTTTCATTATTTCTATTTTCTCTGTAACAACTAATGTGTGACATTCCTACCAGCAAGTACTTAGGAAAAAAACAAATGCCAGGTGCCACTTCTGGACTTGGCCTCTCCTAGGAATCATGGGAGCAGTTAGAGATGTTTAGTTTGAAGATGCACGTGTGTGGGAAGGACCCAGTCAGCCCTGATTCTGGCCTAGCTGGTGAGCCTGCTCAGGTCAGGACCAACCCAGGTCCTGACAGCTCTAAAACTTGACAACCCAGTCAGTTAGTTCTGGTTTTTTGTTTTTATAATTAGTTTTTGTTGTTGTTGTTGTTGTTTTAGACACAGGGTTTCTCTGTGTAGCTCTGGCTGTCCTGGAACTCATTCTGTAGACCAGGCTGGCCTTGAACTCACAGAGATACACCTGTCTCTGCCTCCCAAGTGCGGGGATTAAAGGGCCACCATACCAGACTTATAATTAGTTTAATGTCGTTCCCCCCCACACCCCATGTCTGTGTGTGTGTGTGTGTGTTTATGGGATGGAACTCAAAGCTTTACATATGCTAGACAAGTAAGTACTCCACCAGCCCCTCAATTTTTACTTTTTTTTGTGTGTGAAATTTCTCGTAATGTTTCACAGTACATGCTATTCTGACCCCCTGGTTTAAAAATAATAAATAAAATGGTTATTTAGAGCCAGACAGTGGTGGTGCACACCTTTAATCCCAGGGAGGCAGAGGCAGGCGGATCTCTGTGAGTTTAAGGCCAGCCTGTTCTACAAGAGCTAGTTAGAGAACAGGCCCCAAAGCTACAGGGAAACCCTGTCTTGAAAAACCAAAAACAAAACAAAAAAAAAAAGATGATGACTTAGTTGTCACTGGCTTTAGTCGCCCCCCCTCTTCTTATTTCATGGATGACCAGGTGGTGTTCGTATCTAAAATGGATGCTTTTCCATAAATCCCCTCATCAGGGCAGGCAGGAAGGCTTAGAAGGTAGAAGGTCTTGCCTCACAGCCTGGTAACCTTAGTTCAGTCTCCAGAATCCCTGGTGGGATGAGGCAACCGACTCCTGAAAGTCGTCCTCCGACTGCCATTGATTCCCCCCACACACACGCAAATTCTTTCCTGCACACACACAGACACAGATTAAAAGAAAAAAATAGTGGGTCTGGAAAGATGGTTCAGTGTTTGAGAGCATTGGATCCTCTTCCAGAGGTCCAGAGTTCAATTCCCAGCAACTACATGGTAGCTCACAACCATTTATAATGGGATCCAATGCCCTCTTATGGCATTTGGATGTATATGCAGATAGAACGCGCACAGATAGAATATATAAAGAATTTTAAAAATTGTTTTAAAGAATTGAAAATAGGGGCTAGAGAGAAGGCTCAGTGGCTAGGAGTGTGAGCCACTCTCGTAGAGTCCTGAGCCCAGTTCCTAGCACCCGCGTGCCACCTTACAGTGCTCATAATCTTTTTTTTTGTTTTTTCCCTTTTTTTAAACATTGGATCTTACTCTGTCACCTAGAATGGCTTGGAACTTACTGTGTAGCCCAGGCTGGTTATGCATACCAGGTAGTACTGGGAACTTTGAATTCAGTTCCTGGGACTGCTCCGTGAGACAGTTTTAACTAGTGTGGTCCAGGCCCTGGGTTCGATCCCCAGTACTGCAGTAAAACAAACAGAGTCAGCACCTGTTGTGTTAGTAAACATTGACTAAAGAGCGTCTTATCATTCAAATAATTAAGATGGATAGTTTTAAATTTTATTACAGCTTATTTGTGTGTGTGTATGTGTGTGTGTGTACAAGCAAGTGTGCGCTTGTGCACATGAGAAGTCATAGAACATCTTGTGGGTCTCAGTTCTCGCCTTCCACTGTGTAGGTCCAGGGGACTGAACTCAGGTCGTTAGGCGTGGCAGCAAGTGCCTTATCCTGTTGAGCCATCTTGCTGGCATTTAGTGTAAAAATGTTAAGTAGTAACGCCAGTATTTTGTCTTTCTCTTCCTCTCCCCCTCGCTCCCTTTCTTTCTTCTAGAACGTAAGTGGAGTTTTCATTCACGTTAGCACCTTGTATGTGGTCTTCCAGTGCCCACTCTTTTCTGGTTTTAGTATTGGGACCACTACCCAGTCATTGTCATCAGACTGTATGTTCCTAGATTTTTCTAAGTGGCAATCACAGCCACCTGCGTGTAGGCACTCGGCTAAAGGCTGTGACGGTCCAGTGAGTCACTGGGCCCAGCCTTCTTTCTGTCTCCACTGTGTTGTAGCTAGCTAGCCTAGTGGCTAGTAACTTAATAGCTCTACAAAGCAAATCTGCTCAGCCTACTCCATCTGCTCAAAGATCTTCCTTGCTCTTCAGGAAGAGTTCACTTCTCTGTGTTCTCATAACTAAGAGCCAGGGATGGTTGATTAGTTTCTTCTCTTCCCCTCTGGACTTGGGTTAACTACCCTTACCTGGGGAGGGAGGTCTGTGCTGCTTTTGGAGCCTCTGTCTTTCTGGAACAAGGGCCTGTTACCCCATTCCTCTACCAGGGTTACAGTTACACACAGAGCACACCTCTGACCCTCTTCTGAGCATTGTAGGGTATGACAGGTTTCACGTTGCCAGGGTAGAATTCATGAGAAAGCAAACTATACGTGTCTTTCCTTTTTCTGGAGATAAGGTTTTACTAGTGGCCGAGGTGAGTAAAATTCATGATCTTTCTCACCGTGGCCTCCTGAGTTCTGGGATTGCAGGCGTGTGCCACTTGGCTCAGCCTGTGCATTCTTCCTTTTACTACATGTATTTTTGTCTTAGAATACACAGTTTAAAGCAGTTATGGTCCTGTGTGCTTTATAACCCCAACACTTGGGAGGCAGGTAGGAGAACTGAATTGGAGGCCAACTTATGCTGTGTGATGAGACCTTGCTCAAAACAGTTTTTAAAATACTTTGCATTTTATTTACTCCTGTCTGCATGAATATCTATGCATGTGTGGGTGAGTCCACACCTATGTGGAAGCCAGAACATATCAGATCCCTTGTCTATTGAGTTACTGTTATTGACTGGAAACCAGGCTGACATATGAGTGCTGGGATCCCAACACCAAAAATCCCCATGGTTATGCAGCTAGCACTCCACTGAGCCGTGTCTCCAGACCCTCTCCCAATTGTTTTTAAGTGTAGGTCACTTGACATAAGTTGGTGTTAGAACAGGATAGTGGTTTGTCTGTCAGATGAGGGAAATCATTGTGTTATATTCACTAATGAGGGGTTTTGTAGCCATAAATGTCTTGGTTTTTATTTTCTGGTTGGTTTGCTTGGGTGACATTCTTAATACTTACCATGTGACACTTTTAAGCACACTAATGGCTCACTGACCCCGTGCAGTTAGATTTTCTATGTGTGTACTTCTGTTTGCCCTGAAGAACTGTGACCTGTTCCTGGTGGAGACATGGCCCAAACATCCATGACTGAGGTCAGGCCATGAGCTGCAGTGAGCCCTAGGACAGACCTGTGTTGATTATGTGCTGTCCCCACAGACCGGTCCCCAGCCCACCCAACTCCACTCAGTCGCTCAGCCTCCCTCAGTTACCCGGACCGCAACATAGACATGACATCCGCCTCATCTCTGGCAGGCAGCAACCAGTTTGGGAGCTGCATTCTGGGCCAGTATGTGTCTGACTTCAGTGTCCGGGCGCTCACAGACCTGCAGTACATTAAGGTAAGTGCTACCCACAGTTTTCCATTTCTGCGGTCCTGTCCTATGCATTTAGATAGCTCTGTTCTGGAGCCAGCATGGGCAGTCCAGACCGGAACACTTTTTTGGGGGGCGGGGTCTTTAAAAAAAATTAGATGTCACTTATTGTGTTTCTCTAGTCGTGCTGGAGATCTAGCCAGGTCCTCATCCATGCCAGGCCAACAGTGTACCACTGGGCTCCAGGCCTAGGCCTTCTTGTGTTTTTGTTTCCTAAAGACATGGTCTGACTGTCTAGTCCAGGCTGGCCTCAAGCTCTGAAAGCCTCCTGCTGCAGCCTCCTGAGTGAGGAGATTACAAATACTGTACCATCATGCCACGCCTAGGACAATTGATGATGATGATGGTGAGACATGCGTGTATGCGTGAGTGCATTTGTGTGTATGAGTGTGTGTGTAGATCAAAGGACAAAGAACAAGGTTAGTTCTCTTTCTTCACTTTTACGTGGGTTCTGGGGATTGAACTCAGGTCTCCAAGCCTGTGTTGCAGGTGTGTTTCCCTACTGATCCCTCCTGCTGACCCCTAGAACACTTCTTCCAGCTCTTTGAGAAGGACCCACCTGGCCACATGTCTCCTGACCCAGTCTAGCTGGATCTCTACACCTCAGCCCTGCTTCTCACACTCACCCTTCTCTCTCTCTTTCTCTCTCTCTCTCTCTCCTCCTCCCTCCACAGATCACAAGGCAGCAGTACCAGAATGGGCTTCTGGCCTCCCGCATGGACAACAGCCCTCAACCCACCTTGGATAGCTGTGCCACCTGCTCAGAGAACTTTACTGAGAAGTCTGAGCTTCCTGTGGTGGATGAGACCACAACTCTTCTCAATGAACGCAACTCCTTGCTGCACAGAGCCTCCCAGGAGGGCGCCATCTGACAGGAGGGCCCGGAGACTCCTGCCCACCCTGCAGGGGTCTCCCCAGTGGGCCCACATGACGTCAGGGAGCCTGTTAGGCTAGAAGGGGTGCAGGTAGATATCCTGCCTGACTAAGCAACTAGACATCCCTCCCAGGGGATCTGGCTGCAGATGGGGACCTCTTAACAGCTCTGACATGATGCCTGCCCAGCCCAGCTAGTGAGCAAAGGCTGTTTTGTCTTTTTTTTTTTTTTACACTGAGAGAATTTTTAAGCTAGGCTCATTGCTCCTCTTTTTAAATGTCATTTTGGGAAGGGAAGACAGGGTTAAGGAACTTTATGTATAAAAAAAAAAGAAAAAAGAAAAAAAAAAGAAAATTTTTTTTTTCAAGAAACCATACAAACTTTAAAAGGGGAAAAGGGTTCTTCACCCCAGGAAATAACAGCCATAACCTGTTACTGGCCAAGACCTTGTAGCCTGTGTCTGTCGCTCTAGGAACCACTCTTTTGCAGCAGTGGGGGTCTGGAGCCCACAGGAGGGGACTCCTGGGAGGAAGATAGTTCTACCTAGGAAGCAGGGATCCAAATTATACTGACATCAACTGCCAGGACACATGTACTGAAGTCACTGAGGCTGAAAGGTGCTGGGTAACCGACCAGGGACACGATGACCCCGGCAGCAGAGAGGAAGACATCAACTCTTATCAATTACCGGATCCAGTGAGCTCCTAAAACTCTGTCCACAGGCTTTCCTGGTGAGTGGGGACTCCGCCGAGAACCACCCCCTGGCTCGCCTCTTCCCCTTTGGACAATTTTCTCTTGTAAGGGTCTGGCTCCAAGAGTGAGGCATGGTCTTTGGCTCTACGGTTGCTTATCTGCTTCTTGACCATGCCCTCCGTTTTACCAAAGGTCTCCTCTCAGAGGGGACGGCACCTACATTAGAAGTGACTTATCAGCTACTCCTTTTGGTTCCAGGGCTGAATCTTACTGTAGGTATCTAAGTTAGCAGTCACTGCTATACCCACCCACAGCTGCAAGAAGAGTCAGGGTTCAGCAGCTCCCCCAGGAAGACTTCTTCCCCAGCTCCCCGTTCCTCTCTCTATACTCATCCCTCTAGGGACTGGGGACAGGACACGCTGGAAGTCACCCCAGCTGGGGCATCACACCGTTGCCTGTAGCTAGCTGAGGGTCATCTGACCTCACTTGCCCACTTAAGGACCCTCTGCCGTTAGGGTTTCACCTAATGGTTACCTTTGCCTGAGGATTACCTTGGTGAGAGGGCAAAGCTGAGCTTGGGCTGACGCTGTGGGTACTGCTGAGCATTGCACGCCATGGGGAATCCTACCCCAGTGCCACCCTGGGAACCCCGAGTGGAATCAGGCCATGGGGCACAGTTCCACAACCCTATTGTAAGGAGACTTGAGGACCATGGGCCACATCTTCCCTTTTGTTAGGAGGAATAGGAGCTGGGGTGTAAGATCCAGGCAAGTTAGAACGTGGCCTTTGGTGACATTTAGTCACTCTTTGTCTCAGCTAGTGGAGTTCTGTCACCCCAAACGCTGCTGTGTACCCAGAGAATCCTCACTCCTAGGACCAGGGTGTCTTGTACCCCTGGCCAGTCTGAGGTCTCCTCCACTCATAGAATTTACTCCTAGAAGCCTGGAAAAGAAGGTGGTTTTCAACTCTAAGGGAAAAGACACCAGACCTCCGCGTCCTTAAGAAACCCTTAGTTTTCTGTAGGTGCAGCATGCTCCCGTGTCCCAGCTGTGTTCCTGAGAGACCTAAGTGTCAGGTAGAGCCAAAGCGCGTGGTGGGTGTGAGGCAAAAGTAGCAGGTACACACACTTCCACAGCTACCTCTCTGCACACACAGTTACTACCAACAGACAGGCCTCTCCTTCCAGCCCTCCCCTCCCTCATTTAGAATCACTTCTTGCAGAGGGTCATAATTATTTCCAAATATTACTGGTCTGATGGCTTCCTCCTCCCAGTGCAATTTTTCACTTCCTCTTCCAAACTCTGGTTCCTGGGCTGAGCCATACCCTGGAACTGGCCTGGTCTGTATGTCTTCCCAGGTAAGGAAGACTTCGCAGGTGACATTCAAATGGGGAGGCAAGTCACAGTCGCCGTAGCAAATGACTCCTATTTATTTTGCATTAAGATTTTAATTTGTATATTTTTGTGATTTATTTTGACATTGTTATGAGTTTGACTCTCGGGGAGTTTTGTTGTTATGACTCTTGTGTCTTTTGTCACAAAACAATGATAATATTTGCTAAACAATATATGGAATTTATTTTTGATTGGTAATAAAAAATGAAATGCATATAAGTCTTGGTGAGCATATCACTCGGGTGTTTTACTTCTGAATGCATTTACTGTATGTTGTAGAGACAGAAGTGACTGGCTGTCACTTGTGACAGGACAAGGGCAACTGAATATTCCGAACTGTTTGGAAGTGAAATGCAAGCAGAACTCTAACTTACAAACTATTATAATCACGGCAGTTGCCACAGGAGTTGTGGAGGGGTAGCTGCTGGCAGAAGCAGGGCAAATAAATCAGATGTCAGTTCTGGAAGGGAGCAGCTGGGAAGAGCAAATTGCCCTTTGGCCCTCTGGGGGATGAGGGCTGTTTGGCTACTTTGTGTATATTGATGGTCTGGCGGAAAGTGTCTATCTCCTGAGGACAGTGTCCAGCTGACTGAGGGTTTCCTTGTTGTGGAACCCTTTTGTGGCTTGCACATATACTGAAAACTAGCTTGTGCAGTTCTGTGCTCCAAGGCCCGAGAATCAAGCAAGCAAAGCTCAACATTAAACTGGAGGTTGTTCTGCTTGTGCTTGAGGGGGGGGGTCTCACTATGGAGTATCAAATTGGTGGGGATCCCCTCGCCTCCACCTCCTGAATGCTAGGAGTGCAGGTGTGCATCGCCATACCTACGGTTTTTGATTTTGTTTTGAGACAGAGTTTCTCAGAACAAATTATGTACCTCTAACTATCCTAGAACTTGCTCCCTAAACCAGGCTGGCCTCGAACTCCTCAGAGTTCCACCTACCTCTGCCTCCTGAATGCTCGGATTAAATGCATGTGCCGCCATGCCTAGCTCTGATTTGAGACAAGATCTTGCTATATACAAACTGGCTGGTCTCCATTTGCTTTCCTTTCTTCCATTACTCTGGCTGAGCTACACATGCTAGCACATGTAATTGAAGCACACAGGAGGCTGAGTCAGTAAGATCATGAATGTGAGGCTATCCTAGGCTGTATAGGAAAACCCTGTCAATGGAGGGGGGCATAGGAAGGAAAGCACTTGGGGAGGCAACAAAGAGAATATCCCAAATGAAAGGGTAGCCTAGATATAGGGATACAGGGATGGGAAGAGATGATATCCATCTGTTCATCCCAAAGATGAGTTTGGTGCTGAGCTCCTGCTACACACCAGCCGATACCAGCCCATCAGCTGGCTTGTGAGGAAGAGCCCCTGAAGGGATCATCATCCAAGGCCTTTTACTTGCTGTCACTTCCACTTAGTGAGTCTCTAAGATTTGCCTCATGTTTCATCTAAACCTCTGTTCAAATGTCACCTCCTTAGAGAAGCCTTCCTTGATTACCTTCACTTCAGAGAGCATCTCCTCAGTGTTTCCTTATTTTCTCTTTATAACACTTTCCACTAAATCTTTTTTTTAAGATTCACTAAATTTATTTTTAAAATCATAAAACGTTTCTTACAAAAGAGCATTACATTCTGCATAGTGCTCTGAACAAATGCCGGGGACACGTGGACTATTACTTTCCTCCCGCCCTCCACCCCAGTGTTACAGTGACCACAAAGCAAGGTGTTCACAATAATTACACGGGGGGAAATTTTTTAAAACCACCAACAATAAAGAAAAATTAAATTCACTCTGCTGCGGTTTCAAATTTTTGTTTTTGCATGCCCTCCCCTCAACCCTGTAAGTAACTAAAACATACATCTTGTCCACACTACACCTCAAATGCAGAACACCTATGAAGCAGAGGAATGTTGGCTTTTTAAACAGAAACAGCTAAAAAAAAAAAAATAAAATGCAGGACTCCTTCAGTTCTTCACTGGTCTTAGAAAAACTTTCCAGAATACTGCTTCACACTGTTCTGCAGCAAATACTGTGGTTCTGTATCTGGTCCTGTGTTCCTGTGATGGTAACGATCTGATCTTTGAATCCTTCCAAGGGCTCATCGATTTTGATCGATGCTCCTGACTCATGACGGATTTGTTTAATCTGCTGACCACCTTTGCCAATAATAGATCCAGCCAAATCTTCGGGACTTTCCACTAAATCTTAAACTAGAGACTCGTGTCTTCTGTTTTCCCAGCATTAGATTCTGAGCACCACGAGGTGGGAGGCTTTTGTCCCTGCCAGAGTCCCAGCCTTTAGGAAGATGCCTGTCCTGCATGCACCCTGTGTAGGAAATGCTTATCAAATGAGCAGGTGAAGAAAACCTTGGCTGGATACTGGCCCAGTCTAATTAGCATAATCAGGAAAGATCCTCTGAGGGAGGGATGTTTGAGCTAAGAAATGCAGGAGCTACCCAGGGAGGTCATATTACAGGGCTGGAGGTTTCTGCTTTGTTAGATTCTTTTATTCTAAAATTTACATTCGTATGTGTGGAGGTCAAAAGATAACTTTGTGGAATTGGTTTTCTCTTTGCTTTACGTGGGTTTCGGGGACTGAGCGCAGAACACCAGGCTTGTGTGGCTTTATCCAAGCCATCTCACCAGCCCACGTTTTTGTTTATTGCGGATCTCTGTAGCCCAGGCTGGCCTTGAAATCTCATTTACCCTGCCTCTGTCTCCTGAATGCTGGGATTATGGTAATTATGAATTTTGAATAATAATAAATGTTTTGCTGGGCAATGGTGATGCACACCTTTAGTCCCAGCACTCAGAAGGCAGGGGCAGGCTGATCTCTGAGTTTGAGGCCAGCCTGGTCTACAAAGGGAGGACAGCCAGGGCTACACAGAAAAACCCTATCTCATAAACAAACAAACAAATAAATAGTTTTGATAAAAAGTAGAAATGCTCTGACCTAAATAACCACTAAGGAAAATGACCCAGGGAGGGCCAGTAAGAAACCTAAATAAAAGTCAAGTGTCTCCACTGAAGTTATGATGAACCAGAGATGGGGCAAGAATGGCAGAAAGAAAGAGCCCTGAACTGAAACACCACAGTAGCGGCCTGGATTCTTCATATGCTCGGATACTGACAGTGTAAAGGACCATCTGTTGGTTTCCAAATTGTACTCGATCTTCTTTTACTTGGGGTTTTTAGCCTCAAAAAAAGTAGAGAGGGACAAGGCTGGAGAGATGCCTGTTCTTAAGAAGGTCCTGAGTTCAATTCCCAGCAACCACATGGTGGCTCACAACCATCTGTAATGGGGTCTGGTGCCCTCTTCTGGCCTGCATGCATACACACAGACAGAATACTATATACATAATAAGTAAAAAAAAGTTCCCTTGAGGTCCTTCCTCTCCTGTAGGTTGTTCCTTTCTAGCGGATGGCCTCAGACACGTGACTCATTGCACCCTCTGTTCCCTCTTGCTTTCAGCAGTTTATCTTGCCTCGGAGACACAGTGGAAACTAAAGATTGAAGCTACGCTAAAGTTCTGGGACTTTTTTCTTACAGGGAGCATGACAGTTCCAGTGCAGAAGAGCATCCATGGCTTAATTGCTTCTGCGGGTAGCTCGTTCTGTCATCCGCAAGAGGCAAACTTCTTGGAGCATATAGCAGTGCTCAGATAACAAAAACAGGGAAGCAGAGATGGGATTTGCCATCCACTGTTCTGAGTCACTGCCAACTTTGGAAAGACTTGGGGAGAACTTTCAGTTTTTAATGGTGTGTGTGTCTTGATGTCCACAAAGTCCGACACAAAACAGGAACACCTTCAAGAAACCTCAGTTTTAAAACAAACCAATAGGGCTGAAGAGCTGGCTCAGAGGTGAAGAATGCTTGCTGAGGACAATTCCCAGCACCACCTCACTAGTGACTCCAGCTCCAGGGGGATCCGACGCCCTCTTCTGGCTCCCAGAGCAGTGCACTAGCACGCAAAAACCTCAGACGCATACACATAATTAGAAAATAAATCTTATAAACAAAGAACCGCTGGCTTCCCTGCGTCCAGTCCCTGGTTCTTATTCATCTCTAAGCCTTGCAGGCCAGGGGGTCAACAAGCTTCCTTTCCTCCTGCACACGCGCCGGGACCCTTAGGTCGTCCCAGACCGCCGCTCGAAATTCTCCCTGGCCGGCCAAGCCCCACGCCCCCCGGCCCGCCCCGCGCCGCTTGTTTACTCCCCGGCGCAGCCTAGTTCTCCCCGGAGCCCGCCCTCGCCGGCCGCCTATTGGTCGAAGTGACGCGAAGGCCTGCGCCGATTGGCCGCAGCAGCGGAGGCGCGGGTGAGTGGGGTAGGCTGCGCCTGAGGCCCAGAAGGGGTAGCAGGCCATGGCGGCGGCGACTGCGGCTGTGGCGGGTTGGCTGGGCTGGGTGCTTGCCGCGCTCTGTCTGGGCAGCACCGCGGGGGAGGCGGCGCCGGGAGCGGGACTGCTGGGCTTTTGCATGGAGGAGGACAGCGCGCCGGGCGCAGGCTCACTGCGCGGAAGGGCAGCGCCGGAGGCCACTCTCTGCTTGCGACTCTTCTGCTCGGGCTTAGCCAACAGTTCCTGGACCTGGGTGGCCCCGGAGGGCGCAGGCTGCCCCGAGGGCGGGCGGGCGACCGAGCCCGACGAGGCGGCCGCCCCCACGGGCGAGTGGCGTGCGCTGCTGCGCCTGCGCGCCGAGGCCGGGCGCCCGCGCTCCGCGCTGCTGGCGGTGCGAGTGGAACCGGGCGGCGGGGCGGCCGAGGAGGCGGCGCCGCCCTGGGCGCTGGGGCTGGGGGCGGCCGGGTTGCTGGCCCTGGCGGCCGTTGCGCGCGGCCTGCAGCTGAGCGCACTGGCGCTGGCGCCGGCCGAGGTGCAGGTGCTGCGCGAGAGCGGCTCGGAGGCGGAGCGCGCGGCGGCGCGGCGCCTGGAACCCGCGCGGCGCTGGGCCGGCTGCGCCCTGGGCGCGCTGCTACTGCTGGCCAGCTTGGCGCAGGCGGCCCTGGCGGTGCTGCTGTACCGAGCGGCCGGCCAGCGAGCCGTGCCCGCCGTGCTGGGTTGCGCTGGGCTGGTGTTCCTGGTGGGCGAGGTGCTGCCGGTCGCCGTGAGCGGGCGCTGGGCGCTGGCGCTGGCGCCGCGCGCGCTGGGCCTCAGCCGCCTGGCGGTGCTGCTCACCTTGCCCGTGGCGCTGCCAGTGGGGCAGCTGCTGGAGCTGGCAGCGCGTCCGGGGCGTCTCCGGGAGCGCGTGCTGGAGCTGGCGCGTGGCGGCGGCGACCCCTACAGCGATCTCAGCAAGGGCGTGCTGCGCTACCGGACCGTGGAGGACGTGCTCACGCCCCTCGAAGACTGCTTTATGTTGGACTCCAGCGCTGTCCTGGACTTCGGCGTCCTCGCCAGTATCATGCAGAGCGGCCACACGCGCATCCCGGTGTACGAGGAGGAGCGCTCCAACATCGTGGACATACTGTATCTCAAGGACTTGGCCTTCGTGGACCCCGAGGACTGCACGCCGCTCAGCACCATCACCCGTTTCTACAACCATCCCCTCCACTTTGTCTTCAACGACACCAAATTGGACGCTGTCCTGGAGGAGTTCAAGCGAGGTAAGGGGATGGTGGGAAAGGTCTCACTCCACTGGACAGGTCACTAAGACTTGACCTTTTCCAGAAAGTGGTGGCCTTGAGTCCTGGAATGACCTTTGGGAATAATTCAAGACCATCTTTTAGAAATGGGAAGGGAAGTACTGTGTAAGTCTGATGCAGGAGGATCGGAAGGTGGTTCCAGGCCAGTCTGGGTTGTGTAGTAAGACACTGTTTATTTAAAAAAGAGAGAGAAGACATAACTCAGTGCTTGCCTAACATACACGAAGCCCTGAGTCACTAAGTAGGTGGTGGCCTACCTACTTAGAAAGATGGAAGTCAGACTGGGCTAAAGCTTCTGCCTCAAAAGTAAATGAATGAACAAAAGCCTCCCGTGGTCCCTCTCACTCAGTTGGCAGCAAGCTTGTCTACTTGGCTCTAACCCCAGAGGTTTCTTTCTCCTGGGCCATTTCTGTGCGCTTGGGTTTCCAGGCTCACCCAGATTCTTGGATAGTAACTAAAAGGATGTCAGGAGGCTGTGGTAACTGGAAATTGTTATCTTCGCCTATTTAATATTAAATTAGCTGGACCTGTGATGTTTCTGGCCCTTCCAGGTTGCAGGACAAGGAAGGACTCATAAATAGTTCTCTACGGGTACCGAGGAAACTTTCGTTTAATGTCATTGAAAGCAACATCATGAATAATGATTTAATTACCCTTTCTGGCTTTTTTCCCTTAAAGGTTTTTTTTCCCCTGAGATTTTTATTTTTACGGGTAAGAGTGTTTGTATGTATTATATCTGGGTACCGTTTGCATGCCATTTCTATGGAAGCCAGAAGAGGGGACCGGGTTCCTTAGGACTGGAGTTACAGTTGTTAGCCGTCCTGTAGGTGCTGGGAACTGAACCCTGGGTCCTCCAATGTTCTTAACAGCTGAACCATCTCTTTCATTTAAATTGGTTTTCATCACCAGTCATTAAGCCCAGGTGCTCACGCATGCCAGGCAGGTGCTCTTCCCCATTTCCAATTTCCAGTCTCCCCCTTCTCTGCCTAAAGCTTCTGGGATTCTCCTTTAACTTGACATTTTTCACCAACTCCTTTCACTGCTTTGTTTAAGCAGCTTTTAAGATTTACTTATTTTATGGTTATGAGTGTTTTGCTTGCGTATATGTATGCTCACTTAGTGCATGATACCTGAGAAGGTTGGAGGGGGAGGGGGAATCAAAAGGATGTGGCTTCCAGTATAGCTCTCTATCCTCATCCTCAGGGTGCTTTCTAGAGCCTGAGTGTTCCTTGCCTACCTGCTAATGCCTCTTTGGAGGGTAGGGGAGATGCACACCAGGGCTCTAGGTAGGCTGGAATTCGTGATTAGAAGTGGGTGGAGCACAACCCCCTTGAACTGGGCAGCTGGCAAATCTTCTGGCCTCAGGTCCACTCAGTGAGCCCCAGGACAGTCAGTACAGGAGGCAGCTCTCGGTAATGAACACACTCTTGTGTTGAGTGCAGTGTGTGCCAGGCTCTGACGGGCACTCTGCATGCCCGGTCTCCCTTTGTCTTTGTCTACCTGTGTGTAGACCATGAATGGGTGAGTGGGAGACTGGTCTGTTGGAGAACCTCTCAGGTGTGTCTTGGCTTTTTCCTAGAACTTGGTCCTGCAGCCTCTTCCTAGGGAGTGGATAGGGTCTGTCTGGGCTGCTGTCACTCTAAAGTGCTCGGACTAAAGTGCTGGGTGTTTCCTACACCCAGATTGTAACCCAGAGTGGTTTTTACTGATGAGTGGCTGATGTGGACAGCAGTGGTGAGGGGAACCCAGGAAGTGTGCCACATTGGCTTGAGGAGGTGACCAAGGAGGTAGAATAGAGGTCATTTGCTGCTTGGCTAAGGCTGTGGAGCCAGAGCTAGTACTGGAGGCAACCTGTGTGTATGATAGTATTGGCTGGAGCCAGGAGCAGGTGTTTTCTTACATTGGAATTTGTGTCCCAAGGAGCAGATTCCTAGCAGGCAACTGATACGAACTGCAAACAAAAAATTGAAGAGGAGGTGAAGATTCAAATGTCAGCGTAGAAGTAATCTATCTCCTGGGCTACAGGAGGGGTACAGAAAGTGGAACACAAAGCACACAGGAGGAACATTCTGGACCCCAGGAGTCAGAGGAACCAGAAGCTTAGGATGTCCTGAGGGCTAAGAGAGCAGACCACCTTTTAAGAGAGGTCAGCAATCAGAATGAATTTGACTTTTTTTCCCTCGTGGTGCTAGGGAAGGAACCCAGAGCCAGGTATTTGTTAGTCAAGCACTTTGCCACTGAGTTTTTGTCCTTGATCTGTGGATCTGGGGCAGAGGAGTAATTGGGAGACTGAATGTGGATGGCCTTCCTTCACTGTGCACAGCTGCAAAGTAGAACCCAGGGATCAGTGACCAGCAGAGGACCAAAGGATGGAGAATGTGTGGCAGGGGAGAAACCTTCTGCTTTTGGTTTTAGGATGGAAAAAGACATGTCAATTAGACATGTCAACAAGAAGGAAATGTCACACACAGGGAAGGCCATGGGTGTGGTTGCTCCAGATTTGGGGTTGACCTCTGGAGGACTCAGCAGGCAGGTTTCAAGCATCCTGATACTGAAGGATTTGGGGCTGAATGCCTCTCTGTTTAAATAGATTATCCCAGAAGCTTCCCAATAACATGCCTTCTAGGAGCAGGGTACAACCTAGAGATCAGTGGGATCCTTTCTGTCCCCTGACTTTGGTCCTGTTATGAATGGGGAGCTTCTTTGGCCTACATTTCCTTGTGTGGGTCCTTTCTGGCCCAGCTCTTTATATTTTCCCTCTTAAGAACAAGTGACAGTCTTCCTGATGTCACAGTGTTTAGATCAGTTCTCTCCCCTCTCACAAGCATCTGAGACTGTGATGGCCTCTGATCTTCCTGAAGCTTGAGTCTGTGGTACCTTGTCTAGCACCCTGTGGGAGCCCTGGTCTATGTGGTGGCCTCTGATCTTCCCGGAGCTTGAGTCTGTGGTACCTTGTCTAGCACCCTGTGGGAGCCCTGGTCCATGTGGTGGCCTCTGATCTTCCCGGAGCTTGAGTCTGTGGTACCTTGTCTAGCACCCTGTGGGAGCCCTGGTCCATGTGGTGGCCTCTGATCTTCCCGGAGCTTGAGTCTGTGGTACCTTGTCTAGCACCCTGTGGGAGTGCTGGTCCATGTGCTTATTTCAAGCAGCATTAGGTTGGGACTTTTGTAAACTGGGGAAGAGGTGTCCCTTGCAGGGATTGTTTTGTGCGCAAGTGGCCTGACACAGTACTTTGGAGTAAAGCAAGCACTCAACCCATTGACTTCTTCCCTGTCAACCTCATGTACTCTTGAAGCAGAGGAAGGATTAGGGATGAGGTCTGGTTTACTGTCTGTCGAGCCAAGGGTTGTCATGGTGCTGAGATGAGTCAGCTTTGCCCAGTTGCTGGAAGGATGTTGCCACACGATTTTTCTCAGTGTGCATACATACATGATAGCTTTAGGAGATATCAAAGGGGGCTTGAGGCATAGGTCAGTGATGGAGGGGTGAGAAAGACCCTGGTTTCTATCCCCAACAACACACACACATACACACAGTGTTCCAGCATCCAAGTAATTACACTGCTTTTGAGCCTGCTAACTAAAATGAAAATTCTAGAGCCTTCCAGTTTATGGTTAATTCATCAGGTCATGTCAGTCATACCTGCCATGGTTCTGTGGAGCTGGTCTAGCCAGACTGTACCTAGGGAATATCCAGTCCTGTCCAGTGGAGACAAAATGTTAATTCCTCCAGCCCCTCTTTCTTTCTCCCTGCTGTTTCCTTATAAAAGGCCTTCTGTCCCTCCAAGCTCTCTATCTTCTGTAGTCATATGGCCAGGGACTCCTTCCATTTATTATTGAACTACCCGGTCCAACAGGTCACAGAATTGTGAGTCTTTTCAAAGAAGTTTGAGAGCACCAGAGAGGTTAATCCCTTTCAGTACGTGGCATGTTGGAGAAAAGGACTCGCTCTTAGAAGGAGGGAGCTGCCTTGAGGCTTCTCTGCTCTGAGTGGCCTTTTAGAACCCAGACTTTGGTTTTGAGAATCCAAAACTTGCATCTTGCACTCTTGACCTTCCCTGCCTGGCCTCACAAGTTCGTATTCCATGGCAGAGCATGGAATTCCTCGTATTCCTTGAGGAAATGGCACCTGCCTGCTAGCTTGAGTTAGTTCCAGGACTATCACCAAGGATTGGAAGGAATTAGAAACCTGGCACTTTGACCCAGTACCTCTGACTCAACAGAATGAGCAGTTATCAGGGGCATGTGGCCTTTTCCTCCTGAGAGGCTTTCATCTTTTCCCAGGGGCGTTGAAGCCTCCTGAAGAAAGATGCATTATTTGGTTTATATTTCATGATTCATGTGAAGGCCGAGGCATTTTCTTCAAAAGATCCTGGGAGCAAATAGCCCCCATGTGGGTCTGAGCCAGTGTGTGTTCTTGTCGCCTTGTCTCGGACCTGCTTGTCTCCATCCTATAACCCTCTAACTCTGGTGCCCTTGAGTGGACCCTTTTCTGGGTTGTTGTGTGCTACAAGTGTTAGGCACATATATATCAGGTTTCAAAGGTGTGTTATAAAACATAAAAAGAGGTGTAAAGTATATATTGTGTTTTCATGTTGGTTACATGTTGGGATGGTACTTTAGCTCTATTGGATAACATAGTGTTAAAGTGTTACTAAAAGATTTTAAATTACATATATAACTTGCACTCTGTCTTTGAGATAGACATAAAGTTTTATGGATGGAAAACACTTTGTGACCCCAAGTAAATTTGTGAAGTTTCCCCAACATTTGCCAGCCCTGTAAGAGTTGGGTTTTGTCAAGCGTTTCTGTCCTCATTAAATCAGCCAATAGGAAAATAAATGAGAAAGACACAGGAGCAAGGGGGCATGTTCCAGCTCTAGTTCTTCTTCTTGATATACAGCGGATTCTAAATGCCCACACTTACCAGTCCCATCCTCTAGAAGACCCCTGAGGGGCAGATCCAGAATTGGGAAAACCTGCTGAGGATGCATGTCTACCCTCTTAGCACTAGAGAGGCAAGAGGGTCACATCCCAGGCCAACTGAGATTGTATAGTGAGACCCTTCCTCAAGAAACAAAAGGAGAAAACTAAGTACAGTAGTGTACATTTGATCTCAGCACTCCTGAGACTGAGGCAGGAGCATTGTAATTGCCAGGACATTGGCTGCAGTAATGAAGCCCTGCATTAAAAATAAAGTCAGATAGATGAGTAATAAAATAAAATCAGGCCAGGCAGTGGTGGCGCCCGCCATTAATCCCAGCACTCAAGAGGCAGAGGCAGGCAGATCTCTGTGAGTTCCAGGACAGCTAGGGCTACACAGAGAAACCCTGTCTCAAAAAACCAAAGGGGGGGGGCGTGGGTTAAGAAGAGGGCTGTGAGAATACAGCTCAGGGCAGGGGCTAGAGTGCTTATAGCAGGTATGAGGCCCTCGTGTGCTCACTGGTGTGCAGAGGATAGGGTGTGGTGTGCTCAGTAGAAGCATCTTCTGTTTTTTGGTGTAAGAAAACCTGGGAAGTCCTGCAGGCTGCAAATACGTGTTCTCTCCTACAGGGAAGTCCCACCTGGCCATCGTGCAGAAGGTGAACAATGAAGGGGAGGGCGACCCCTTCTACGAGGTGCTGGGCTTGGTCACGCTGGAGGACGTCATTGAGGAGATCATCAGGTCTGAGATCCTGGACGAGTCTGAAGACTACCGTGAGTTTGACCTTTGTTCTCTAACTCAAGAGCCCTCCCAGCAGCCTGAAAGATGTCTGATTCAGGGGCCAGTGGGTCTTAATGCTGCTGAAAACTAGCTAGAGCTCCATCAGACCTTATCTTCCTACTATGGTGTGGGCCATTGTTACCCTCCTTATAAGCCATGCAGACTGTCCCATTGTTGACTTTTTTGGCCCCTGTGTGAGCAGGGGCTTTGTAACAGCCCTCCATCACTGAAAGAAGTGTCTGCCCTTGACTGGCCAGTGCCTTTCTGCTGCTTTTGCTGGCCCACATTCTGTTGCGCATAGCTCCTTAACGCCTTCTTTGAACTGGGTGTGAAGCTCAGTAGTAGAGTATCTGTCTAGCTCGAATGGGGCTGGGTATGGTCACCTGCACCATATAGGCTTAAAAAAAAATTCCATGTCTTTAATCCTAGCAAGGCAAAGTCAGGTAGCTCTGAGTTCCTGACAAACAGAGGATGTATAGTAGACCCTGTCTCCAAAAAAAAGAAAAAAAAATATTCTTTACAACCTGCTGCTCAGCAGGTCTTCTGTAGCAGACAGTCATGGAACCTTTGATTGTGTCTTGCTCTTCTAAGGATGACTGCCAACTTTGTCGGGCAGACGCAGAGCCCATGCTTAATAGCTGGGGCCTCACATGGCCACTTGGGACCCTGCTCTGCCACGCCTGTGTCTTCAATTCCTGAACCAGTGTAAGGTCACCAGGGTATCTGCTGCCGTTTGCTGTGGCTGATCTTCAAGCACTTGGATCTGAAAGATCTCCACAGCATCAGTCTCTTCTGCAGGAGAGCCAGACCTCCTCTGGGCATGGCTAGAAGTGTGGCTGTTGCCTCCTCTGTCCTAGGCACTGGGATTATAGTGTGGTGGGCATGGTAGCTCGGTGTCTTGCAGGGAGCAGTGCCAAGGATGTTTCCTTGGGGCCCTGGTGATGTCTCCCCTGAAATCCCTGGACCTTGGCAGGAAGGAGTGGATGGCAGTGCCATTGGCTCTGTTTGTGTTCATACTCGTGTGCTGATCACCACTCATGCCATCTTTTCTGCCTCTGCAGACACCAAGGTGAAGAAGAGGACTGTTGCCCTGAGCACCCCTCTTAAGCGGAAGGAGGAATTCTCCTTATTCAAGGTGTCTGATGATGAATTTAAAGTAAAAATCTCGCCTCAGCTGCTCCTGGCCACCCAGCGCTTCCTTTCCCGAGGTGAGGGTGAAGGATGGTCCTTGCCCCTGGTCTCACCACCCAGAGGGTCAAGAAACCACCCAGACCAGACACCAGCTTGGCTCCTAGTGAGCTGGAGGCTCTCGAAGAGCATCTGCCTCCTCCTGCAGAGCTAGTGGGTGTCTCTTGATAAGGTGTGTTCTGGGAACCTCATCTGGCCCATGTTGTATGCCCTGCTTGGCGCTCTTGTATGGATTACCGCAGCCCAGGGACCACTGGGAGAGCCCAGGAGGCAGCAGGAGGCAGGTGTGATGACAGGCCATTTGGGCCCCAATGGACACTGTCCCTTTCTCCCACCGTGGAGCAGAGGTGGATGTGTTCAGCCCATTGCGAATCTCCGAGAAAGTCTTGCTGCATCTGCTGAAGCATCCCAGTGTCAATCAGGAGGTGAGGTTTGATGAAAACAACCGCCTGGCCGCACACCATTACTTGTACCAGCGCAGCCAGCCGGTGGACTACTTCATTCTCATCTTACAGGTAACCATGGTTGCCCAAACCTGGAGACAGATTCAGACAGCCATTCTTAAACAGTTGGGGCTGTGGTTTCTTCTGTACTTTCTTATGATGGGAGAGATAACCTGTCCACCTCTGTCTTCCTCCCAGGGCAAGGTCGAGGTGGAAATTGGGAAAGAGGGCCTGAAGTTTGAGAATGGGGCCTTCACATACTATGGAGTGTCTGCTCTGACAGCTCCGTCTTCAGGTAAGTCATGATTAGCAGACACTCTGGATGCTACAGCAGGTCTTCGTGCCCAGGACACTGGCTTGGCAAGAGCCTGTGTCTCTGCCCCCCAAGGGGCTTCTTGTCTCTAGGCAGTGTAAGCGGGCAGAGCAGCATCTCTGCCTTGTTTATATTGGTAGCCCACTTAGTCCCTGCAAACGTTTCAAGGTGGCTTCTTCATGGTCTTCCATGTTCCCACCCATCTCTCAAAGGTGACTTAAGGGGTGGGCCCTAGAGGCTGTGCAGTTGTCCCATTGCCTTCTACCGTCTCTGATTATTCCTTCCATAGCTCACCAGTCCCCAGTGTCTTCACGCCAGCTCATCCGCCATGACCTGCAGCCTGAACCAACTGAGAGCACTCACTCCTCCACATACTGTCCTGACTACACCGTGAGGGCTCTTTCTGACCTGCAGCTCATTAAGGTGACTGTTTGGGCTACACATTGGTGCTACTTTAACTGACTTTGTGCTCCCAAGGGGCTAGTTCAGCTGATCACTGTGAAGTTGGAGAGTGAACTCAGCACAAGATGACAGGCTCACATCCCAAATGGTAGGACCTCCCCCTCTCCCTGGACTGTTGGGCTGTTGGGGTCTGGGCATGTCTGGAGGCCTTGCACCTGATCTCTCCCATTATAGATCTTAAAATCTTAAAATTTGGCTGTAAAACAAAACCATGTGGCTCAAAGACTTTCTGCCCTTCACTCGTTTAAAGGTCGTGCTCATGCCTGTCTAGTGTAGGTCAGAGGTGGGAGCTGCTGTGTATCTATCTCACAGATTGCACCTGCTGTGTAATTTCTCTGTTCTCTAGGTCACACGGCTGCAGTACCTTAATGCACTCCTGGCTTCCCGAGCCCAAAGCTTGCCTCCGTCCCCAGAGAATGCTGAGCTCCACACCATCCCAGGCAGCCAGACCAGGCTCCTTGGTGATAAGTCCACTGAGACAGCAGGTAAGCCCCACACGGAACATCCTGCAGTGTTGGGGTCCAGGGGTCACGGGAAATCTTGCTACTGTGCTGCTTGTGCTCCCTGCTCCCCTGTCTTGTATCCTTGCTTCTCTGCCCATCCTTTCCCTTCTTGCTGTTTGGAGTAGCTTAAATTACTCGATCAAGTGGCACTCAGAGCAGAATGCCTTTTCTCTCTGGCCTCTTAGAGATAACTTAATTAGTTCTTGATAAGTGGGGAAAATGTTTAGTTTAGAAACTCTCAGGTCACTTAGAGAATCAAGATTTGGCTTATCCTCGGCCCTGGCTTGAGGGAACACTTGCTGTGGAGCTGGGCCAGCACATGTTGGTAGTGAAGTTCTGTAGAGTTGGATGCAGAAAGCAATTGGGTTGGGGGTAGATTGCATTATGGGTAGGCACTGGGCTGCCTCAGAGTCTATGGTTTGGGTAATGAAGGCCAAAGGCTTTCTGTTGTTTCTTGAGTTTATTGATCCTTGCCAAACCGAACCTCGGAATTAGCTCTATTCTGCCACCCAAGGGACCCAAGTTCTTACCAGGTATTTACTCTGCAAGAACCATGTTTAGAGCTGACCCCATCTTCACCGGCGAAGCTGCCCACATCCTGAGAGGTGGGAATTGCTGGGTTTGTCCGACAGATGAGGAGTGGGGTTTGAGGGCCCAGAGCTAGACAGCCTCCTGGGGACTTGGGGCTGTGGTCACTGAGACCCACATTTAAAATCACAAACATGATCTTACAGTAGAAATTGCTTTTTTAATCAAGAGGTGACACAAGGCACAAAGGACAGAAACCCCTGACCACCTGAGCCACCATGATGGCTCAGCTCCTATGGGCTCTGGCTCTAGGTATTACTAGGGACAGCTGTGAGGCATTGCCTTTCAGTCTTGGCTGCGGGCATGGGTCACCTTCCATTCTAAAGGAATGTCAATTTCAGAAAGGTATCTCTCACTGTGTTCACACGGTGGTCAGTGTTCACCGTGGCATTTTGTGGAATACCCCAAAACAGAAGTATACACAGTCACATTAGCCTTACCAAGACTTGTTTCTAAAACATGAATGTTTTCTGGCTCCAACCACTAACTCAGACTGCATGGGCTATATTCAAGGTATAAACGTGAACTGGGAGGATAGTTCTCCTTAAGAGTGTCTTCCTGGCTGTAGAGATGGCTCAGCAGTTAAAAGCACTGGCTGCTCTTCAGGGGTCCTGAGTTCAATTCCCAGCACCCACGTGGAGACTCACAGCACCCGTAATGAGATCTGGTGCCCTCTTCTGGCCTGTAGGCATACATGCAAGTAGAACACTATACATACATACATACATACATACATACATACAGTCCCCTCTTCTGGCCTGTAGGCATACACGCAAGTAGAACACTATAAATAAACAAACAAACAAATAAATAAAATCTTTTTTTAAGATAAAGAGTATCTTCCGCCAGGGATTTTTTCTCCCCTTCCCCATTCTGTCCTCCCCCCCCCCCCCCTTAGCTCCCTCCTCCTCGTTTCCTTTGCCTGCTTTTCTTTCCAGGTGCCGGGGTTGAACGTAAAGCCTTGCACACCTAGGCCAGCATTCTACCATTTGAGCTGTACTTCTAGTCTGTAGAGAATTTGTAATCCTCTTGGCTTTGCCCATTCTTTGGACATCCTTTACAAAGAGTAATTTACAGTGGCTTGAGGGCCATTTCTTCCTTAATGGTTTATCTACCTCTGTTTGCCAATTTTCACCTAGGTGTGACCTCATGTTTGCCTAACTCTGGGGTCTTCCTGTGTTTGAGTTACTGCACAGTGCTGCTTTCAGAGGGCACCGTTTAAACTAGTGCAGAGAGACTCAGTCCCGGTGGATTTGGGCAGTAAATCCCTGGCAGAAAAGTGCTTTTGTTGAAATATTTGGAAGGTATAAGAATTTTAAATTGATGTTAGGGGTTGGGCCAGGTGGTGGCAGTTACACACCTTTTATCCCAGCACTCAAGAGGCAGAGGCCGGTGGATCTCTGAATTCAGGACAGCCTGGTCTACATAGTTCCAGGACAGCCAGGGCTATACAGAGAAACCCTGTCTTGGAGAAAAAAAAAAAAAAGAAAAACAAACAAATAAACAAAAAAAACCCCACTTATATCAGGGATCAACAAACTATGGTGTGGGAAGTCTGGTTTGGCCAGGTTCCAGAGTTTATGAATAAGGTTTTATTAGAGTCCACCCATTTGTTGGGGTTGTCTGGCTGCCTCTGAGTGGCAATGGTGACTTGCAAAATGTAAACTCTTGGCCTTTTTCTGAGTTTTCTGGCCCTGGGACTCCTGGCCCTGGCAGCCCTGTGATCGGGACTTCCCTCCGTGGTCCCCAGCAAGCCTTCCGCGTGGCGCCGAGGAGCTGAGGCCCACTGCCACTCAACAGCGTGTTTCCTCTTCTCTCTTCTCTCCGCTCTCTCAGCCTTCCCAGTAGGCCTTTCCCTCTTTGGCACATTTGGACACTGCAGTTGATAAATGACTGTGGACTAGTGAGCATTTTTTGTTTTAAGAAAACACCAAGGTAAATATCTGTTTTCTTTTCCTTTGATTTACTTTCCCCATCCTTTAGCTGTTGGCAGGCACTACAGACAGCTTCCCCAGGCAGTGGTGCGTTTCTTTTGGTGGGGGGAGTTGGGAGGGATACTATATTTATGTTTATGTATTTACATGACACACCTGTTAGTCCTGGAGCACAAGGCTTCCTTGTAGCACAGGGGCTCTTGATCATCCACGGAAGTTTCTTTTTGCCCAGCATAGCTGCCTGAGCCCCCAGGAGTCAGAAATACATAGCACCCCCTAAGTACCATGGCTCACACCTATAATCTCAGCACTCCAGAGGATGAGGCAGGAGAACTGCCTTGAGTTTGAGGTCACTCTGCACTGCATGGTGAATTCCAAGCCAGCCAGCAAGACTCTGTCTCAAAACAAAATAAGGGCTGGCAGTATAGCTCTGTGGGTAAAGATGCTTGCCACCAAGCCTGATGACCCAAGCTCAGTCCCCAGCACCTATGTGTAGAAGGTAAGAACTGAATCTCACAGGTTGTCCTCTGACCTCCATACATATGTCTCAACCCCTGCTGCCCCAAAGAAGTGGGGGAAGGGCAGACCCACAAACCAATGACATAAAAAAATCAATAGCTTATCTTTGTCCTTTATGGGTGACATCTGCCCTTGGAATGGGTTTCTCTCTTGAGGCCTACTGACCATGTTCCTGACTCTGCTTTGATGGTTCCTGAGGTGTCCTGGGGGCCCATCTATCCAAGCTGTTTCTCTTTGTCCTAAAGGTTCAGTACTTTGTTTTGCTAGAGCCTGCTCTCTTGACTAGTGTGAATACCGTTCTCTTTTTCCCCCCCCTTAGGGTTCAGCAACAACAGACCTGGCATCCCAGTGGAGGAAAGCCCTGGGCAGAACCCAGCAGTGTAACTGCTTGTCAGGCAGCCCTGAGCTGGAAATGGACGAGCGTGTGGGGAGCTGGGGAGAGTCAATCAGGAGCTTCATGCCAGCCTGTCTCCACCTATTCTGGCCACGTTTTAGATGGCCATTATAAGATGTGGGTCCTGGGCCTGCAGCTGACCCTGCCTTCCCTTAGGAGATTGGATTGGCAGGTCAGTCCTTCAGAAGCCTGTGTCTGGGGATGGAAGGAACAGCATCATCTCTAGTCCCCAGCTTCTCCCCTGATGCTGTAACAGCACAGTGTCTATACCTCCCTGAGCTAGGTGCCATGTGAGTGCATAGTTACTGCCTTTACATGGCCTTGGCCTCTCTTTGTTTTTGGTTGGCCAACCCTCTTGCTGGCATCACTTTGTGAGCAAACCGAGAGTGCCGGCTTTAGATGGAGATTCGAATCTATGGCCCTGTCGTGTACTTTTTGGCTTCCCTTACAATGCCATATTTTGATTCATACACTCCAGTTTTTTCCATGTGCCAAATCTAAGAGCACGGTTCCCCCAATAAATATGTGCCCTAGTTCTGCTCCCTCCTGTGGAGGTGGCTTCTCTGACTCCTTCTGAAGTCATAAGCAGGCTGGCCCAGTTACACAGTAGGAAGCCTGCCCAGCATGGCCCGGGGTCAGCTTGCATTTCTCCTCCACCTGTGCACTAATGGTAGTGTCAGTTTCTGTTGGAGGTCATGGGTGGAAGGCTAAAAGTCAGTGTTGAGTGACCGTTTATTGTACCTGCCTTGTACTTCTGTCCGAAGCCCAGGAGATGTGCCGCTGTACCGTGTGGTGAGCAGCAGTCAGGGAGGACTGTCTGCAAACCCGATTCCTCTTTTGTCACCTGCTGAGAAGTCAAGGTTTTCTGTTTCCAGTGGTGGTGTTTTGGGGATGCAGGGGTGGGAAAGCTCTGTTTTTCTCTTCTAGTTTACCTACATTTTCCTTCAACAGTTTCAGCTCTGGGACCATAGGTTGGGGTGGGAAGGGAGATTTCTGGAATTTTCCTCAAAAGAATGTGGGTCCTGGTAAGTGAGACTTGCAGGCCAAGGGAACGGTGGTATGCTGAGAAAATATTCTCAAGGAATATGCTCTAAGAACAAACTCAGGTTGGAAGCAAATACTTAAATCATCTCTCCCCAGAACAGAATTTTGCATTTTGGCTGCACCTCAGAATCACCTGGCCAATTAGAACCTTCAATAGCTGGGCCCTGCTGGGCTTCTGAGGTAGTCACCTTGAACACCAGGGTTATGGGCTTGAAATAGTGTTAGATGCATAGAAGAGTTCCACGTGCTCTGTACTCAGCTTCCTCTACTATTAACGTATTAAATAACCTTGTTACATTTATCAAGATTAAAATGCTAACATTGGTGCCATACTATTTAACTGGAGACTTGATTTGGGTGTTACTTTTTTTTTTTTTTTGGTAATATCCTTTTCTGTTGCAGGATTCCAAGGTAGGATGCCAAAATTCACTTAGAGCTATTGTTTTCCTATTTACCTGACTCTGTATTTTATAGTACGTGCAGATTCATAGGGAGTTACAAAGATACAGTCCATGCACCCTTTATCTGCTTTTCCTCAGTGGTCCTATCTCACAAACTAGAATGTAGTCTCAAAGCCTGGATTGGTGCAGATGGTAGCTGGCACCTGTGTAGACCCAAGTCTAACCCACTGTCCTGCCACTACCAAGGTACCCCCTGGACTGCCACTCAGAGCCAGCGGCCCCATCCCTAAGCCCTGGCAACCATTCTTAGGCTGTTCTCATCTCTGTTATTTTGTCATTTCAAGAATGTTTCAGGACTGCAGTGTGTGGCACTCAGCACAGTGCCCTGGGGATTGACCCAGCTCATTGTGTCTGTAGTTTGTTCCCTTTCCTGCCAAGTGGTGTTCCATGGTGTCTTGCCCTGTCAGAGGACATCTGGGTTGTTTCCGGTGTTTGGCCTTTTCTAAATAAAGCTGCTATGAACATTCATGTACAGAGTTTGGTGTGAAGATTGGTGTTGACTCTGGGGAAGTGCCAGGAGTACAGTTGCTAGGTTGTTTATCTTTTAAAAAGAAACTTTCAGGCCTTTGGCTGTAGCTGTGTACAACCTTCAATTCCTACATAAAGTACAGGAAGGATCCAGTTTCTCAAATCCTCCAGATGGTCATTGTTTTTTTACTTCAGCTATAAGGTAAGTGAGATAAGTGACCACCAGAACCACTGTGGTTCTCGCCTGCTTTTCCTGATGGAATCCAGCACTATACATGAATCTGTTCATGTTTTCACTTTGGTGTCGTGTCTTGTGTTCTTGCCCATTCATTTGCCGCCGCCCCCCGCCCCCCCACACACCTTTTTTGTCTGAGAACTTCAGATTCTAAAACCCTTTGTTGGATGTTTGGTTTGCAGAGATTTTAAGCCTGTAGTGCTGTAGTCTAGATCTGAAGTGTCCCCTCAGGCCTGCGCACTAAAGACTTAATCCCTTTGAGGTCACTGGGCATGCCCTCAAAGGGACTGTTGGGGCCTTGGCCTCTTCCTCCCTCTCCCTGATGACTGTGAGGTGAAGAGGCCTCTGCCATGTTTTCCCTCCTTAGAATGTACATGGCCCAGAGGACCAAGCAACCCCAGGCTCCTCTGAGCTGCCCATCTCAGTTGTACGCTCACAGTAACAGCATACTAACAGTGAGATTGTGTTCTTATAGCACGGTCTTATCTGGAACAAAGGTTTTTAATTGTAGTCAAATTCATTTTACCAAACTTTCTTTTGTGCTTTCAGCATATCCAGCTGTTCTAGATCTCAGAAATTGTCTACCTTTTTCCCTAACAGTTTGAATTCCTGTTCTACATGTAAGCTTGTGATCCATTTTAAATTAATATCTCCATAAATAATGTTTGGTCACAGCTGTTTTGTAATTTATGAATATGAGCGTTTTGCCTGCATGTCTGTACATCACATACATGCTTAGTGCCTGCAGAGGCCAAAAGGCATCAGATCCTCCCTGGAACTGGAGTTAGGGGTGCTGAGAACTGAACCCCGGTCCTTTGGAGGAGCAGCCAGGGCTGGTGCTCTTTGCTGTTCAGCCCTCTCTGGCCCCCACAGCTGGTTTTTTGTTATTGGTATTTAGGGTTTTGTTTATAGGCTCAGGCTGGCCTCAAATTCATAAACTTGCTTTCTCTGGCTCCCCCCACCCCATTCCTTGTTTAGCCTAAGGATGTCCTTTTGTTGAAAAGGCATCTCTCCCTCTGTTGGGTGTATTTGTGTGTGGGGGGGGGGGGGGGACGGGGACGGACGGACTGTTTCTGAGTTGTCTACTACATCACCTTAGAGTGGATATATCATCCACTATACTCAGAATCACTGAAGTTGGACCCACTTTTCCCTTTTTTCCCCATTAATTTTCTTTTAGGGTCTCAAGCTGGGTGTGATGGTGTGCCTTTAATCCTAGCACTCAGAGGCAGGTGGTTCTTTGAGTTCAAGGCCAGCCTGGTCTACAGGATGAATTCCAAGAAGAAACCTATTTTAACAACACCCCCCCCCCAAGGGGTGGGGGGTGTCTCAGTCTGTGGGCCAAACTGACTTCACAGTCCCCCTGCCTCAGCCTACCAAGTGCTAGATTTATAACCATGGAACATCATGGTTACCTTCTTTTATTTTTCAGAATTTGGGTGTTTTTTCATATATAGTCTCAATGCATTGCCTGTGCTGTGTGCCTTGTCTCACACTGTGTTGAATCTAAGCTGCAACACAAAGCAATCTTCCTGAGGCCTTCCAAGTGCTGGGATTACTGGCAGGAGCTACCATGTATGGCTCAAAATTGCTTAGAGTATACATTTTCTTACAAAGTAGATAATCTTGTTTACATCTTTCTTGGATTTTGGTAAGAACTGTGTTAAGTCTGTATGTTGTCAATGTGGGAAGAGCTGACATCTTTTCATGTTGTGCCTTCTAGTCCATGAACATGTTATGTCTATGTCAACATTTTCATTTGTAGGCTTCAGCAGTTTACTTTTTTTTAAGGTTTAAACTTAAAAAAGTTAGCCGGGCGATGGTGGCGCACGCCTTTAATCCCAGCACTCGGGAGGCAGAGGTAGGCGGATCTCTGTGAGTTTGAGACCAGCCTGGTCTAGAGAGCTAGTTCCAGGACAGGCTCCAAAGCCACAGAGAAACCCTGTCTCGAAAAACCAAAAAAAAAAAAAAAAAAAAAAAAAAAAAAGTTGTACTATTTTTTTTTGTATTCATAATGTTCATTGGTATTAGCGAGAAACAGAATTTTGTTTATATTGTGTCATGAGGTCTTGGACTATTAATATTAAGGTAGGTATTTATCACCCATCACCTACCTAGACATCCTTACAATTTGCTGGTATTTATAGATAGCCATGTCCTCAACTAATACTTGGATCCTCCTTCCAGGGCTTCTGACCTAGTAACATTAGACATTAGGATTTTCAGAAAAGGTCTCACTGTGTAACCCTGGCTGGTCTGGAACTCAATATGTTGATCAAATTGGCCTTGGACTCAGAGATAGGTTTGCCTCCTAAGTGCCAAGATTAAAGGTATGTGCCATCATACCCAGCCGACATCAGGACTTTTAAAAACTGTGGGTCCAGAACATGAGAGCCAGCGCCAGGACCCTCTCCTCCCGCTCCCTGATGTGTGTAAGGCATGCCTTGCATTTGGTGACATGAGTGTTGCGCTGATCTCTGTAGTGGAGGGTGACAAGGCCTTTGGTTTGGTTTCCATGTAGCCCGATGCACTGCCTCCTCCCAGTGCCCATAAGACAACTCGGCTGCGGTGGATAGTCAGTTTAATGAGAAAACAGTGTCCTGTATAAAAGGTAGCTTTGTGTGTCATGTAAGTGTCCTCATTTCTGAGGGGTCGTCATATTGAGTAGTCTTGAATGTCTGTCTTGCCCGTGGCACAGGTTGTCTAGGTGCCCACTGTGTCACAACAGGGCAGGGCCTGCCCACAGAAAGGTTTGTGCCTTTAGGAGGGAGCACTAGTCTTTCACATAGTAACGGGCAGAGGCTGCCAAAATGAACGTCAGCTCAGAGCTGTGTGAGGGAGGCAAAGCCTTCACCTTTTAGCCCTTTGTTCAGCCTGTGGCCTCAGTGGAGGGCCCAGCGTCAACTTTCCGGCATATTAGGGGCCAGCCCTGCCAGTAGTACAAGTGCACCAGTGAACTGGAAACAGCTGGAAGGGGAAGGAGCATGTGCCTGTGTGAAGTCCTCATTACACTACCAGGTGGCATGGGTCTGTGACTATCCTACAGCAAGGTGCTCGACTCAGTGTGCAGGGCACAGAGCTTAGTTCAGGTGCTTCCCCAGTACCAGGGGGCAATAGAGCCTTAGGTAAGCTAGGGCTGCGGGCCGCCGCCCCAAAAGTTGAGTGGGCCACAAGCAATCCCCAGCACCTGGCACCCTACCCTCACATAAAATAAGCAGAGCTGCCCTTTAGGTGGAGCGTTCCCAGAGTACACACTAGTTCCAGTCCACCAGTCTCCAGCTTCTGGGGCAACCTGGTAGGTACTGACATCCGAGGGGCTGCGATCCTGTTGTCATGCCCCTCAGCCTGCCAGAACCACCCCCAGAGTCTGGAGATGAGGTGCCTAGAACTACTCCACATGCTCTCAGGGTTGCTGCTGATAGGAGTGGAGTCCCTGGAGAAACTCCACCTAAAGGATAGCGTGAGCTGCACCAATGCCTGGCACTTAGGTAGCCTGTTTCTTCTCTTGTACCCTGCAGCTGCTGGCCACAGAATCTCTACAGAACAGGCCAAGGCCAGTCTCCTGATCTAAGGATTGGTAGACAGAGGCCTAGACCCAGCTGTGGGTAGTGCCGGTCTGTTCACTTCCTGTTCTGGCTTTTGCCCTTGTCTGGATCCACTTCTTGCTTATGGTTCTGCTCCAGCTGTGACAGTCTCCCTCACTGATACCCAGGGGGCCTGTTCTACCTGCTGCCTCAGGCAAAGAAGCAAAGCCAGTGGAATCAGGGACTGGAGCAGAGAACCACTTAGAGGTGGGTGGGAAAGTGGGTGTGGAATGGTAGTTAGGAGTGACCCACAGGTCAAAGTCATCAGCACCGGGTACGGGGGTGCCCCACATGGGCCTGTAGTGCTTCCCGGATACCCCGCTGCCAGTCTCGTGCCAGCTGCACTGGTGTCAGGGAGGCCTGTGAACAAGGATACTGAGTCAGTCTGTCTCCAGGTACTCACCCTGACCTCAGCACAGGTGCCTGCCTGGCACTCACCACATTCTTCATGCCCAACTTGGCTCCATAGAGCAGCAGCAGCTTCGTAGCTTTGTGGTGCCCATAGCGCACAGCCTCATGGAGTGCTGTGTCCCCTTCCTGTGGAGAGACCAGTCGGTCACTGCTATAGGCCCAACGCTGACACAGATGGCCTCCGGCCTGCCCCAAGCTGCTCACAAACACCCACCTTATCCTGTGCATTGATGTGGGCGCCACACTCAATGAGGTGCTCCAGGCAGTCAGTGTGGCCCGTGCGCACTGCTACATGAAGAGGGGTGCTCCAGATCTAGGGAGAAGTGGGGTGCAGTGCTGGATCTGGGCTGGCCATTCCACCCCACCCAAAAGGGCTGTGTCTTCTTCCAAGGGGAACATCTGTTCCTTGTATGCTAATGTCTGTCCCTAACAGATTACCACCCAAAGCGGCAGTGGTCCCTCACCTTGTCCTGTGCATTGACCCGAGCCCCCTGGTTAAGCAGCAGCTTGAGAATGTCCAGGTGTCCTCCACGGCAGGCCCAGAATACAGGCGTCCTGTCCAGCTGCACACAAAGCACCAAGGTGTTCTGACCCGCTGGGTTGCAAAGCCTAACTAGAGCCTCCACATTCCCTGTCCCCTGTTTCTCACCAAGTCCCGTGCCTCTATAGCAGCCCCTGCCGCCAGCAGCTTGTTCACTAGCTGTCTGTGGCCCTTCAGACAGGCCCAGTGCAAGGCTGTGCGGTGGAGCTGGGAGGAGAAACAAAATTAGGCCGAGAGCAGAGCTACTCCTTAAAGCCACCCACCCCCACCTCTTCTGTTCCTAGAACAGGTCGGAGTTACCCAGTGTCCCAGGCGAGGACTAGAATGTACAAGATGGCACATCCAGGTGTCGGAAATGCAGTCACCCACCCCCTACCTTGTCATGGGCATTGGGGTCCCCTCCATCTGTCAGGTACTTGTCAATCAGGGCTTCCTGGTTCTCGGCAGCTGCCTTCAGGAACGTGTCCAGGTCCACTGGCTCCAGTGGGACCTGGGGCTGCGGCTGGGCGAGCAGAACAAGGCGGAACTAAGTTACTCCCTGGCCCTCAGGTACCTGTCACTTCTGCTTTACCAGTCTGGCCCAGCACACCAATTCTCGGGGGATAAAGAATGAGAAATGGGTGTTTTGCACTGATTGTTCCCATACTCTGGTTCATATGCTGAATCTTAATCCCAGTATCTCAGAATATGACCTTTTTGAAAATAATAGTCATTGCATTTGTTAGAGTAGGGTAGACCTCTTTCTTGTATTACTGATGTCCTTATGTCAAAGACATTGGGTACAGGCAGACACACAGAGCATGAGGAAAAGGTAGAGACGGGTCGTGTGTCAGACCAGGAGGCACTAGAGCCAGCAGCCCTGAGAAGCTGAGCAGGTGAGTGGATGCTGAAGAATAGCCCTGCAGACTACACATCTAGCTCTGAACAAACTGGAATGGCTGTTTGTGTGGCTAAGTCCTCAGTGGCCAGCACTTGGTTACAGCTGGCTGCCTATGAGACTTAATTTGGCCGGATCTAGAGTCATCTAGGAGGCAAGCCCTTGGACACATCAGTGAGAGATTATCAAGGTTAGGCCTGCTGCTGCAAACCACTTTAAATGTGGGTAGAACCTTTTGATGGGCTGGGGTCCTAGGCTGAGGAAAAGGAGAGAGCAAGGAAGTGAGCATTGGGGCTGGAGAGGTAGCTCAGCAGTTAAAACCACTTGTTGCTCTTGCAGAAGATTCAGGTCCAATTCCTAGCACCTACATGTTGCTTCACAACCATCTACCTGTACAGAGCATATGATGCTCTCCTCTGACCATCAGGCATGTACACGGTGCACATATGTACATACAGGCAAGCACTGGTACACAGAGTCAGTCTCTCTCTGTCTCTCAGCTCCCTCAAGCTCCTGCCGCCATGCTTTCCCCACAGCAGTGAGACAGTTAACTATACTCTGGAGCAGTGAGCCAAAATAACCCTTAAGTTGCCAGGTGTTTTGTTGCAAGAAGCTAAGGCGCTAACCCATTGCCCTATAGAAGGAAAAGAAAGCCCGCATTCTGTGCAGCTCCTCATGCATTGACTAAGTAGCTACAGCCCCTAGATCATTCTTCCCAGGCCCCCAAGACGGAGGCCATCTCTGCCTCTGGAACACCAGCCTTCCTCACTCACCTCAACCACAGGCTCAGGTTCCCTGGGGGGGACTTTGTGTCTCAGTCGCTTTTCTCTTCGTCTTTGAAGCAAGTTTTCCAAGTCTTTCATATTGTCCAGAGTCAGTCTGGAGCTGTTAAATCTTTCCAGCTAGGGCAGAAGACATGCCCAGGCCAGACATCGGTCACCGGGTAGGGTCTCAGGGCAGGCTCTGCTCTAGGTCCTCATTGCTCAGTCATCCACACTGCCCAACCCCTTTCCAAGGCACTTACTTTCTTTTTCTTCTCTTCTTCCAACTTCAGTTTCTCCCGGGCCACGGCCTCTTGGGGTCCCAGCCTCCAGTCCCTAGGCCAGCCTCCAGGATCGGGAACTCTATGTCCAAACTCCAACACTTTCCTATCAGCTCTTTCTCCACTTACCTGCAGGACACGTGGAATAGATTAAGGAACGGGACCATTGGAGGGCTGCTTGGGAATCAGTTGTGGGACACAGCAGGATGGCTGAGATCCGACATACAAAGGTCAGTTTTGAATCTGGGAGTTAGCCTGACTCTTCCTGTTAAGCATTTCCTGGTGGGCTGCAATGCTGGTGCAAACACACACACACACACACAATATCTGCAGTTTTTACCAACTGTGGCAGTGGCCAAGGCCAGGGGATTTGCTGTCAACTATCAGCAAATCACAGAGTGAAGGGAGGCTGGTGTCTGTCTATATTGGGTTCATGCCTGGGAGCTCAGACAGATGACACCTTAGCTTCCACCCTGGGCTTCTCTGCCTCGATTCCTATGGCATGCCATACTGCCACCTGACCCAAGCTTAGACAAGAGAAGCTCCTTGGCCAAATTCCAAATCCCTGCTTTCAGCCCTTGGGTCTTAGAGTATGTTTCTGCCTCTGTAAAATGGGCTCAAACCATCCCTGAGAGTTGGTCACAGCTGATACCCAGCCAGCCCCTTAGCCATCCAGGGAGCTGGAGAGCAGGGAGGAAGGTGCAGACTGTGGGTTGAGAATGCTGCAGAGAGGAACAGAAGATCCCAGGCTTTCTTCTAACTCATCAGCTTCAACAACCTCCTGTCTCCTGGAGTGGGCTTTGCGGTCCACCTCCCAGGAGCCAGCTGGGGCCACTGCACCCCAGTGAGGTATACGTGCCTCATGTCCACCATGCTCTGCCACCAAACTGACACTGCGTCACTTTCTCTCACTGCCCATGGAACACGAAGAATACCACCCCTAAAGTGCCAGACCCTCCAGAACGTTCCAACCAGATGATACAGCTATATCGTGGATTCCAGAGTAACTCACCACTTCCTGGTTCTTTCCCACCATCCAGACAAAGGCACACCTACAAACTTGGGGGTGCAAGTCTATGACCGAGTGCTAACCTCGCATATGTGAAGCCCCAAGATGGACCCCCAGTACCACACTCACCAAAAACAAACAAACACAAACTTAATAACACAAGAGTTTTCCCATTTACTATCGCCCGGCTTCTTTCCCATTTGTCTTCCTTCTCTTGATACCCGCTAACATGAGAACTGGGCAGGAAAGAACCATGCTGTCTGCCCTCAGCCAGACTTCATTACTCTGGCTGTAAAGTCTAACCACCTACACCTTCTGTTGAGTTATTGGTGAGGACCAGTAACCTGCCTTGCGTCCTTACCAACTGCTGAATGCTGATGAAGTCCATGGTCCCCCCTCTTGCTCTCCACACGCCCAGCGAAGGGAGCAGAGTGCTCAGCCCTTTTATGGGAGCGCTTTCTCTTGTGGGTGGGGAAGGACAGAGCTTGTGCCCAGGCCAGATGACTCTGGGGCCCTGTCACACTAACCAAAATACAGTCTGGGAACATGGCCCACTGAGGGCAGGAAAAGGGGCTGTTGGAGCTGAGTCAGCAACCTCCTCAGACACCTACTACCTTGCACCTGCCACACACCCCATCTACCAGAGAGTCATTTTACCACCACATGGGCTGGGATGCCTGGGCCAGGCCCAGGGGAAACATTTCTTACTCTTCTGAGTTCAGAGCCCACTGGTGGGACCCAGCCTCACAATGGAGATCGGGCTGCCTGTGCCACTGCCAAGACCAGCTTAGACCCCGGGCACAAGGCAGGCATCCAGAGGACCTCAGGAAGGACAACAGAAGAGGCTGACCTAATGCCTTGGGAATTCTCCTGGACCTACATGATGAAACTAGGTTTCTCTGGCTAGTTTCAAGGCTGCCCTTCCCTCCCAGATTTGTCCTTCAGCACATGGTGTCCTGCCCCAGCCTGTCATCGGTCCTTATAGGGCTGAAGAAGCCTTCTAGGTCCACACCAGATACTCTCTGGGCAGGAAGCATGCCCTTCACCAGGGCAAGGCAGACCCGCTCCAAGTCCCGGGCTGTAGCAATGATCATGACAGCCAGCCACAAAGCAAACTGTCTTCAGCCAACAAAAATCAAATTCCTAATGCTTCAGAAGCCAGAAATGTTTTTCACTCTGCTGTGCCCCAAATTCCAACTTGACCTTTGCAAGGAAATCAGATACGCAGTAAACAAGACTCCGGCATGAAAGCAACATGAACAGGGAGACCCAAATAAGTACAAGGGGAAAATGTGGTTAAATGAGGCCCAGAGACCACAGAGAGTTACCAGAGCGCCTGTTGTCCACGTCGGCCTCATGAATTTAAGAGAATTTAAGGAAATGCAACTTTTTTTTTTTTTTTTTTTTTTTTTTGGTTTTTCGAGACAGGGTTTCTCTGTAGCTTTGGAGCCTGTCCTAGAACTAGCTCTTATAGACCAGGCTGGTCTCAAACTCACAAAGATCTGCCTGTCTCTGCCTCCCAAGTGCTGGGATTAAAGGCGTGTGCTACCACCGCCTGGCTGAAATACAACTTCTAAAAGAAGCCCGGGTCTTTCGGTTTTTGTGTTCCCTTGTGAGGAGGGAAGCAGTTACTCCGTGGGAAAGGAGGCTGACAAGAAAGTTGGACTAGCTCTGCCTCCACTGTCCCACATCTGATGAAGCTGGGCATGGTTGAGCATTATTCTAGTACTTGGATGGGTTTGGTGGAGCACACCCTCAATCCCAGCATTTGGGGGCAGAGACAGGAGGATCTCTGTGTTCAAGACCAGCCTGGTCTAGAGTCAGTTCCAGGAGGCCAGGATTACGTAGAAAGATCTGTCTCAAACAGACAAACAAAGAATAAACAAACAAAATGCCTCGCACTGAGATGGCTGAAGAAAGACGGCCTTGGGGTTAAAGTTTCGCAGTGGCTCAGATACCTGTATCCAAACCAAAAAAAAAATTTTTTTTAAGGAAAATGCTAGTTTTTACCACACAGAGGTAACTGGTATTACATCTCTAGGTCAAAAAAGAAAAAAAATACTTACTCTCTATTTTTAAAAACAAAACTAAAGATCTATTTGATTATTCTTGCTTTTGTGGTCCAGGGAAACCACATCTTCCCAGCTCTCCCTCGTGTCTGCATGGCACATGCCATCTGCAAATTGTCACACTGTGGGCACCACGTGGCCCTCTTGCCACACTGCCACCTCTACATTCAAGTGATGTGCCGAGCCCAACCCCTTGCTGCAGGGGAGCAGGTCAGTTGTGTCTTTTCTCTCTCAGTAGGTCAGTCTTGTGCTCTCCCCTTCTCTCCCTTCTGTCTATCTCTGTCTCTCTCACAAATACATAGTCTCAAACTGTAGCTCAGGCTAGCCTCAAGCTTATAATTCTGCCTAAGCTCCTGAGTCCTGGGATTACGTGTTCGCCACCATGCTAGGCGCTCTCTTTTTAAATATACACTATATATATATATATATATATATATATATATATATTTTTTTTTTTTTTTTCCGAGACAGGTCCTTTTCCAGCCTGTCCTGGAACTAGCTCTTGTAGACCAGGCTGGTCTCGAACTCACAGAGATCCGCCTGCCTCTGCCTCGCGAGTGCTGGGATTAAAGGCGTGCGCCACCACCGCCCGGCTTATACACTATATTTTAATGCATCTCTTGTTCTGTCAGTGCCGGAGAACCCAGGGCCTTGGGCCCTACTGCACAGTTTGTAAATGAGTCTGTAAATAAACGCCTCTGTAATCAAGAACAAATCTTCCTATGTTGCTACAAAGAAGTCAAAACTACTCGCTCTGCTCACTTAAAGAGGTATTGCTACATTGCTGTCTATGGTGTGTGCGCCAGTTTCCATGACCAGAAGCCAAACAACTGAAGGCAAGTGACAGTGCAAAAGACAATTTTAATATCCATATATGAAGCCTATTTCATACACGTTTCTCTCTATATATGCATATAACCAAAGCAAAGGCTCGATAGGCAAAGTTCCTGGGAATGAATAGAAGCATGGCAATATATGTGGTATACACATAACTATAATCCCAACACTCAAGACGTTGGGGCCAGAGAATGGCTCCAGGTTGAAGGAAGGCTAGCCTAGACTACACAGCAAGAACAAAACCATGTCAAAGAAGAAGGTCAGGGACAGGTGTGCAATCTCACTAGCAAGCTGTGCAGACCAAACAAAAAAGCAATTATAATTACCTGGGGTTTTTTTGAGACATGGTTTCTGTAGCTCTGGCTGGCTAGAGCTCCAACGGATCTTCCTGCCTTGGGTGCCATGACTAAAGGTGTCTGCAACCGCACCTGGCACAACTACACTCTGTAAAACCGGACTTCTAGAACTGAAATTCTGGAATAAAAGTCAGTATCAGCCAGACTTTGGGACTGGCCACCGTTTCTCCACATTGTGTTAGGGATTGAATGGTAGGGCTTTTGCACGTCAGGCGAGCGCTCCACCACTGAGCGACAGCCCCTTTTTATCTTCTGAGACAGGGTCTATGCTGCCCAGGCTGGCCCACACTGCCAGGCCAGGCCCAGCAGCGAGCACTCCCCCGTGCTGCTTGTAGTGCCCCGCATACTCACTGGAGAGCACAGACCTCCTCAGACCTCCAGGAACCCTGAGGTAGGCCTATTTTAGTCACTGTCATCTCACAGACAGGGAGGCTGAGGAACAGGCAGGTAAAAAGAGAAAACTGCACCATTTGGCTAGGAAGCAGTTGCTGTTAGACACTGTATTTTCTTCTAATACTTGAAAGTTTTGCATTTTTATATTTAGGACTCTATCTGGAAATTTATCTTTGTCTGTGGAATGATGTCAAGATATAAGCTTTATTTCCATCCAAATGGATAGCTGTTTCTACAAGGACTAACTTATATGATCACCTGTCCAGGCTCACAGCCGTCAGCCCTCCCAAGCCTTCCTACTGGCTCCCACACCAGCTAGACAGGGGCTCTTCCGGGCAGTCTGGCCCTGGTCCCATCAGGCAGCATGATGCTGAGCAAGGCAGGGTGTGGAGACCTGTCTGTATACCCTTCAAGGGCAGCCAGAGACGGGAGGCGGAGCCTCAGCTGGCCAGTAGGTCCCTCAGGCCACTGTTGCGGGGCAGCAGATCACATGCTAGGCGTGCTTTGCGATCCCGGACAGCCTTCAGGGCTGGGCTGTGTTGTAACAGGAGGGAGCAGATGTCCTCGTGACCCTTCTCTGCGGCCTGGGGGGGGGGGGGGGGGGGGGGGGGGGGGGAGAGAGAGAGAGAGAGAGAGAGAGAGAGAGAGAGAGAGAGGCCTGAATCAAAATATGCTCCAGAGCTGGGCCCTGCACTTTCTTCCTTCCCTTTTGGGGACCTGCTTAAGAAAGTGTCCAGGAAACAGGTGCCTCCGAAGTCTAAGCACACAAAAGTTCCCACCAAAACGCCATGCCTTATACACAGATTTGCAAAGCACCTGGGGCAGTCTGGGCAGCTACTCATTAGTTCTGGTTCTAGTTCAGCTGCTCTGGAACTTTCTGTGTGGACCGGACTAGCCTTGAACTTTTGGCAGTCCTCCACCTTCAAGTGTTGGAGTTCCAGCTACTGAAGCAGCCATGTTTGGACTTTTGTGCATGTCGGACAAGCAACCCACCACTGAGCTACAGCCCCGCTTTTTATCATTTGAGTCAAGGCTGCTCCTGTTTATGTCTTGTTTTTTAAAGATAGTTTCACCATGTAGCCCTGGCTGACCTGAAGTTCACTATGTATATCAGGCTATATGTATTTACTGCTATCTGCCTGCCTGTGCCTCCTGAATGCTGGATTTAAAGGTATGTGCCATCATGCCTAATCTTTCTTTTTCTTTCTTCCTTCCTTCCTTTTTTCTGAGACAGTAGCTTTCTGATTTGTTTTTTTTGTTTTTTTGTTTTTTGTTTTTTGTTTTTTCGAGACAGGGTTTCTCTGTGGCTTTGGAGCCTGTCCTGGAACTAGCTCTTGTAGACCAGGCTGGTCTCAAACTCACAGAGATCCACCTGCTTCTGCCTCCCGAGTGCTGGGATTAAAGGCGTGCACCACCACCGCCTGGCTGCCTGGCTGACAGTAGCTTTTTGAGACAGTGTCTCACTGTGTTGCTCAAGCTAGCCTCAAACTCACAATTCTCCCGCCTTGGCCTCCTGGGGTGCTTTTCCACTCACCTCACCCCTGCCCCCCAGCTTAGCCTGAAAAAAAAATATATATATATATATATCTCCCCTTTGCCCAGTAATCATTCTGGTCTTTATTCAGCTGTCCCACAGTTGCCCATCACCCCAGCACTGAAGCGAGTGCAGACAAGAGGCTCTCTGGGGCTTGTTGGCTTCCAGCCTGGCTGAGAAAACTTGAGCCCCATGTTCAGGAAGAGACGCCTATCTCAGAGGAAAAGGCAGGGGCTGACAGAGCAGAACACCCAGTGCTGACTTCTGGTTCCTGTACAGGCACGTGCATCTGCACGCAGATGTGTGCGTGCACTCACAGATACGTGTACACAAAGAAATCATGTTTTAGATTCTGTGCATGTGGGGGGGTATGTGTAGATGTGTGCAGATGCCTGCCAAAGTCAAAAGAGGGCAGCAGATTTCCTGGCTGCAGTTACAGGGTGTTGTGAGCTGGGGACTGAACTTAAATCCTCAGCAAGAACAGTATACACTCTTGGGCTGGAGAGGCTCAGAGGTAAAGCCCACTGGCTGCTCTTCCAGAGGTCCTGAGTTCAATTCCTAGCAACCACTTGGTGGCTCACAGCCATCTATAATGAGATCTAGTGCCCTCTTTTGGCCTGCAGGCAGAACATTGTATACATTATACATCGTAAATAAATAAACTTTTTTTTTTTTTTTTTTTTTTTTTTAGTTTTTTGAGACAGGGTTTCTCTGTACTTTGGAGCCTGTCCTGGAACTAGCTCTTGTAGACCAGCTGGCCTCGAACTCACAGAGATCCACCTGTCCCTGCTTCCTGAGTGCTAGGATTTAAAAAAAAAAAAAAAAAAAGAATAGTAGTACACATTCTTAACCACTAAGCCACCCCTTTAGTCTCCACAAATTAGTAAATTAAGTTTTTTTGTCTAAAGACAGGGTTTCTCTTTGTAACAGCCCGGGCTGTCCTGTAACTTGCCCTGTAGAGCAGGCTGGCCCCAAACTCACTGCCTCCTCAGTGCTGGGATTAAAGGCATGCACCGCTATTAGGAAGTATTTTTAAGAAACAAAAGACGCCGGGCGGTGGTGGCACACACCTTTAATCCCAGCACTCGGGAGGCAGAGGCAGGTGGATCTTTGTGAGTTCGAGGCCAGGCTGGTCTACAAGAGCTAGTTCCAGGGAGGCTCCAAATCCACAGAGAAATCCTGTCTCAAAAAACAAAAACAAACGAACAAAAAGACTCGAGCTTCTACACCTGTCAAGGATTTAACAAAACCCAACCTGCAGCTGTTCACTCCACGCCTGTGGTGTGTCCAAAGGCTGCACACTCCACAGAAGCCAGCCCCAGCTGCTGCCTCTGGTGAGCCAGACCTCAAAGAACAGCCAGTGGGCTTAACCTCTGAGCCTCTCCAGCCCAAGAGTGTATACTGTTCTTGCTGAGAATTTAAGTTCAGTCCCCAGCTCACAACACCCTGTAACTGCAGCCAGGAAATCTGCTGCCCTCTTTTGACTTTGGCAGGCATCTGCACACATCTACACATACCCCCTCCACATGCACAGAATTTAAAACATGATTTCTTTGTGTACACGTGTCTGTGAGTGTCCAAATGTGACTTGGGAGGAAAGGCTTTATTCTGGTGCTGGTTGTTGCTCATCATGAAGGGAAGTTGGGGCAGGGACCTGGAAGCAGAAACTGAAGCAGAAGCTATGGGGGGATGCTGCCTACTGACTTGCTCCTCACGGCTTGCTCAGCCTGCTTGCTTCTTCTCCTTCTTCCTCTCCCCCTCTCCCTCCTTCTCCTCCTTCTTTGAAGCAAGGCTTTTATGTGTAACCCTGACTATCCTGGAACTCACTCTATAGACCAGGCTGGCCTCAAACTCAGAGACCCACCTGCTTCTGTCTCCCAAGTGCTTGATTTAAATGCATGCACTTCCATGCATGGCTTTTTAAAATGTCTTTACTTTTTATTTTATGTGTGTGTGTTTTGCTTGCAGCTAGAGAGTCAGAGTCACTGGAACTGGAGTCACAGATGGTCTGGGCCACCCTGTGGGTACTGGAATTGAACCTGGGTCCTCTGTAAGAGTATCCAGTGTTCTTAGCTACTGAGTTATCTCTCCAGCCCCTGGCCTGCTTTCTTTTTATTTATTTATTTATTTATTTATTTATTTATTTATTTATTATGTATACAGCATTCCTTCCATGTATGCCTGCAGGCCAGAAGAGGGCACCAGACCTCATTACAGATGGTTGTGAGCCACCATATGGTTGCTGGGAATTGAACTCAGGACCTTTGGAAGAGCAGGCAATGCTCTTACCCTCTGAGCCATCTCTCCAGCCCCACCTGGCCTGCTTTCTTTTTTTTTTATATTTATTTATTATGTATAATTTATTTATTTATTATGTATACAATATTCTGTCTGTATGCCTGAAGGCCAGAAGAGGGCGCCAGACCTCTTTACAGATGGTTGTGAACCACCATGTGGTTGCTGGGAATTGAACTCAGGACCTTTGGAAGAGCAGGCAATGCTCTTAACCATCCTGGCCTGCTTTCTTATCCTACCCAGGACAACCTGCCCAGGGATGGCCTGGCCCTGGTGAGGTGAGCCCCTTAGTGAGGTGAGCCCAACCACTTCAATCCTTCATCAAGAAAATGCACTCCAGACTTGCCCACACCTTGATCTTATGCAGGCATTTCCTCAGCTGGCAGCCACTCTGCCCAAGTGAGTCTTGTTCATGTCAAGGTAACAAAACTAACCAACATGCCAGGAGCCAGGAAGCCAAGGGCAGGGCACAAACAGCTGAGAATGTCTGGGGACCAGGAAGGTTCTACAGAATTGCTATATACACTATAGTCCAGAAAGAAAGGTAGAAATACGTACGGCCTATGACAACTGGGAGGGGAAAAAGCTGGATGGGTTGGGGCAGGCTTAGGATCAGTTCTCAAAAGACAAGGGCAGGAGGACTGATTGCCACTAAGTTCGAGAAGACCCTGATCTGCTATAGTTCTAGGTTAGCCAATGCCACATAGTAAAACTCTGGTGGGAGGGGGGAGAGGGAGGGAGAGAGGTAGGAAGGGAGAACCTGGTTCAAGAGAGGAGGGCGGGGAGTGGAGAGGCTTCCATTTGGAAGGTCGTTTGTGACACACAGAGACAGTGAGTACAAGAGGATGGAAAAGACAGAGCCTGAGAGCTGAAGACAGAACTGAGGCCATCAGGAGCTGAACCCAGCTGGCTTTGTGGGATAGCTCCTTGGACTTGGGAAAAGCAAGCCTGGGGAGGGGGGCGGAATCCATGGAAGGTAGGGTTTGATGGGAACTCTTTCAAAGTCACAGCACTGGTGGAAAACCAGAGCTGGGGCAAGGAAGGATTCTATCTATAAATATATACATAAATCACATCTCTAAGATGCATGCGTGGGTTGAACAAATAGTTCAGTGGTAAAGGACTTGCCCAGCAATCCCCAGCACGAAAGAAAAAAAGAAAGAAAGAAAGAAAGAAAACAAGTGAGTGATCGAGCAAGCAAGAGAGGGAGCGACTGGAAAAGTGGAGGCCTGGAGGAAGAGCCTAGAGTACTGAGTCCCAAAAATAATCATCCTGCCTATGCCTAGAAAGTGGGTGGTAGAGAGGTCAAGCAGTACTGGTTTAAAAAGCTGATTACAAGGGAGCGCCTTTGCAATTCACCACTGGGGAGAGAATGAACTCACACACAGGAGAACGGCTAGAAAACTACTTTCGTAAGGTGCTGACAGGCAAGCACCAAGACCCCAGGTGGCTTCTCTTCGCTATGCTTTTCCGTTTTCTGCAATGAGCACTGTAATCTTGGTCGTCAACTGGGTGGGACTTAGAATCTCCTAGGAGGTGTGAGGGCATTTCCAGAGACCTTTAAGCTCATGAGCACAAGCTCCATCCAGCTCATGGTTGGAGCGCCTGCATTCATTTCAGACCTGCTGTAATCCCAGCAGGAAGAGGCGGGAGGATCAGGGTCATCCCACACACACAGCAAGTCTGAGGCTAATCTGGGTTATGGGAGCCTATTTCAAAAGACAAAACAACAACTTTAAAGTGAGGTGAGGTAGCACGCCTCAGGTCTCGGGGGTAGAGACAGGAATGACTTCAAGGACCGCCAGGGCCAGAGTGAACCCTTGTCCTCTGTTTCCTTGACTGTAGATGCAGTGGGGGGGGGGGGGGCAAGATGGCTCAGAAGGTAAAGGAAGTCACTTGCCACCAACCTGTCGGTATCAGTTTGATCCCTTGGTCCCGTGTGGAAGGAGAGAACTGACTTCTGAAAGTTGTCCTCTGATTGCGTCATGCCCTCCCTGTCATGCTCCCCCACGCAAATATAGACATCACGTGGCCAGCTGCCTCGCGCTCCTAGCCTCCTACTGCTGTTGTATAGTTGCCAGGATGGACTGCATCCCCTACCTTGACATGGGTGTGGTGGCACACTGCCTTTAATCCCAGCAGCTGGAAGGCAGAGGCCTGTGGATGTCTGGTCAAGGCCAGTCTGGTCTACATAGTAAGTTCTAGGACAGTCAAGACTACATAGAGAGAGCCTGTCTCAAAAAAAAATAAATAAATAAAAAGAAAGAAAGAAAGAAAGAATTTTGTCACAAGAAAGCAATGAGAAAAGTAACTAATACATGAATAAAATTAAGGAAAAGAAGGTACAAAAGAGACAGGGACATACCTTATGTAGGCTGGTCATGCCATCATCATCAACCAGCCGAGGGTTGGACCCATGGGAAAGCAGCAGTCGTGCAATTTCCGTGTGCCCACAGTAGCTGGCCCGGTGCAAGGCTGTGGCACCCCCGTGGGTCTGGGCGTCACACTTTGCTCCACTTTCCAGCAGAAATTGGCAAACAGCATAGTGCCCATTGCGACTAGCATAGTGCTGCAGGGGCAGAAACTGAAGTCAGACAGCAAAGTCCTGGCAGGTGACAGGGGCACTGGGATGGTAAAGGCACTGGCTGTCCAGCAAGGGGCAGACCTGGAACCAGCTCAGAGACACTGTGCTCTTCCACTAATTAAAATACCCAGCTGCTCATGATGCTGCCAAAATAAAAAGGGGAGGGTGGCTAAGGATACAGCGTAGGAGGGAGAGTGCTTAGCATCATGGCGGCACAAGCCAGGGTCTGTAATCCCAGCAGGAAGAAGCAGGAGGATCAGGGTCATCCCACACACAGCAAGTCTGAGGCTAATCTGGGTTATGAGAGCCTACTTCAAAAGACAAAACAAACTTTAAAGCAAGGTGAGCTAGCATGCCTGTAACCTCAGTACTGGGGGTTGGGGGGTGGGGGGCAAGAATGACTTCAAGGACAGCCTGGGCCAGAGTGAACCCTTACAAAAGCTAAAAACCTAAGAGCCAGTGAGATGACTCATTGGCTAAAAGTACTTACTACCAAGTCTGGTGACCTAAGTTCTATCCCCAGAACTCAGTGCAAGGAATGGAACAACTCTCCAAAGTTGTGCTCTGACCTCCACACATGCCCTGTGACAAGCTCGTGCCCGCTTGCAGGCTTGCACATGTGCGCGCGCGCGCGCACACACACACACACTGCGGGCTCGCACATTCACACGCAGTGCAGGCTTGCACACAGGCACGCACGCACACACACGTGCACCACACACACACACATCACACACACGCACCACACACACACGCACCACACACACACGCACCACACACACACGCACCACACACACACACACACACACACTGCGGGCTCGCACATTCACACGCAGTGCAGGCTTGCACACAGGCACGCACGCACACACACGTGCACCACACACACACACACATCACACACACGCACCACACACACACGCACCACACACACACACACACACACACACACACTGCGGGCTCGCACATTCACACGCAGTGCAGGCTTGCACACAGGCACGCACGCACACACACGTGCACCACACACACACACATCACACACATGCACCACACACACGCACCACACACACACACACACACTGCGGGCTCGCACATTCACACGCGGTGCAGGCTTGCACACAGGCACGCACGCACACACACGTGCACCACACACACACACACACACACTGTGGGCTTGCACATTCACACATACGCAGACCTGTTGTAATAGCTGCCACAGGGCTGTGTCCCCAGCAACCCGGCTGCCTGGCTAGCTTATGCCCCGAAATAATTACAAGGACACTGTATTCTTTTAAACACTGCTTGTCCTATTTCTATCTAGCCTCTTCTAGGCTAATTCTCACATATTAATTTAGCCCATTTCTAATCATCTGTGTAGCACTGCTAGGTGCGCTTACTGGGAAGATTCTAGCCTATGTCCATCCTGGGTCGGAGCTTCATCGCATGTGCCTCAGAGAGCAGAGCTATCACGTCTACCCGGGAGAGGGGAGCATGGCGTCTCTGAGCTCACTTCCTCTTCCTTCTAGCATTCTGTTCTGTTTACTCCTCCCACCTATGTTTTAACCTATCAGGGCCAAGCAGTTTCTTTATTGCTTAACCAATGAAATCAACAGATTGATATATGACATTCCCACATCACATACCAGTAACAAGAACCAACAGAACAAACACTGCAGGGCTTTGCTGGGAGTAAAGGGGAAGAGAAGAGGCAGCCCAGAGTCAGAGCCTGTCCCATAGCTCACCAGCGCGGTATAGCCGGCAGAGTCAGGCTGGCTGGGGTCTGTGGCCTTCTGGATGAAATATTTCACGCGGCCCAGGTCTCCATTCAGGGCTGCCAACCAGATTCCTGCAGAAAGCCAATCAAAGCACTCAGCAGGGTCGCAGGATGGCATTTTTCTTTGTGTAAGTACTAGGGGAGGCAGAGGCAGGTGGGTCTCTGTGAGTTCAAGGCCAGCCTGGTCTACAGAGCTGGTTCCAGGACAGCTAGGGCTACACAGAGAAATCCTGTGTTAAACAAACAAACAAGAAGCTGATCAGGGAACGGTGAGACAGCTCAGCAGGTCAAGTACCTTCATCAAGCCTGACTACGCGAGTTCGATACCCTATACCTACATGGTGGAAGGAGAGAACTGACTCGTGCCAGTGTCCTCTGACCTCTGTACTCATACCCACATGCCCCACACACCCTAAATTTAAGTAAAATTATTGAAATAAGATAACCACGAATAGGTTGACCAATACTACACACCCAGGTGATGAGAGAATTCATCAGTGGCTTGGAATTCAGTCACAATGCAGTATAAAATGATGGGGGAAAGAAGAGGTAAAGGAATTTGGAAAAGACCGTGTACCAGCATACTTCTAAAGCAATCACGGACAGATATGCTGGATGTCACCGGCGTCATGTCCTTGCAGGGCTCCAGGAATTTGACCTTACTGGCAAGGGAGCCCAGACACTGCAGACACAGAAGCTAGGACGGAGGCTGGTGGAGAACTGCACAACCCAGAAGCTCATCGTGTTTATTATATACAGTTGAACAGTTAACCAGGTTACTGTGTTCAACAAAAAGGCAGGGTTATTCTACACAGCTGAATGAGGAGGCGGCGTTATTCTACACAGCTGAACAAGGAGGCAGGTTTAGCTAACATCAGTAGAGCAATCAATCTCTGCAGAGGAACAGACTTCAGGCCATGAATAGCCAGAGGGAGAAATGGTGGACATTTTCTGCCTCACCCTTGTGTGTGTGTGTCTGTGCTCAGCACTTGTTGCTCTTCTAGAGGTCTGGGTTTGATTCCTAGCACCCATAAGATTAGCTCACAACCATCTGTAACTCCCATTTCAGGGGATCCAATCCCCTCTTCTGATGAGGCCCATACATGATGCATACATACACATGGGCAAAACATTCACACACATTAAATAAATATATATACTAAAACCAGTGATCAGAGAGATGGCTTGGCAGTTAAGAGTAGTTGCTAGGGCTGGATAGTGGTGGCACACACCTTTAATCCCAACACTAAGGAAGCAGAGGCAGGTGAATATCTGAGTTCAAGCCAAGCCTGGTCTACATAATGAGTTTCAGGCCAGTCAGCGCCACATAGTGAGACCCTGTCTGGGGGGTAGGGGTGAGAGAGGTGGGAATGGGGAGATGGACAGACCAACAAAACAGAATACACACACACCCAATAACTGAACTAAAAACTAAAAAAAACAAATGAATGGGGGCTGGAGAGATGGCTCAGAGGTTAAGAGCACTGGCTGCTCTTCCAGAGGTCATGAGTTCAATTCCCAGCAACCACATGGTGGCTCACAACCATCTGTACTGAGATCTGGCGCTCTCCTCTGGCGTGCGGGCATACATCAAGGCAGAATGTTGTATACATAATAAATAAATAAATCTTTATAAAAAAAAACAAATGAATTAAAAACTAAAATAACATGATTTACAGAAAACATTCACACAATAGGTGAGCACCTGCATCACATGTGGGAAATTAAGAAAAGAATAAGCAAACAAAGTAACAGCAGGTGATACACAAACTATTTCTTTTTTCACTTTTAGTTTTTGGAATCAAGTGTCTCACTATGTATCCCTGTTCTGTCTGGCTTTGAACTTGTAGCCCTCCTGCCTCAGCCTCTGAGTCAGTCCAAACTGCTATAAGAAGAGCAAAGTGCTACTGTAACAGAATAGCCTGGAAGGGAAGGGCCCTGCTTTGAATAGGACAAGGTTTCTTTCTCAACAGAGACAGGGCTGACATGTTGAGCCAGGTCACCGTCTCTTGTGGGGAGCTGGCCTGTGCATGTCAGAATAGCTGTGGCTCACAAAAATGTCTCTAGATCTTTACGGGGCATTACTATCCCTAGGTAAGGACTTGATAAGGCATAAGGAAGGTTTCTCTGAAGAGGTGTCATAGAACTGAGAGCTCTCAGTCTGAAATTTTCAGGAAGGCTGGCTAGCAGGCAAAATGAATGATGTTAATCAGTCAAAGGTTAAACACCCAAAGGGCACCACTGCAAAGGGTACAGAAACAGCTTTGTAGGTCACAAGAGAGAACTCGGTTTGAGGAACTAAAAGCAGGGGGGGTGGGGCTGGAGAGAGAGCAGCAGGCAGCTCTGCAGAGCACCTGGGGCGGTTCCCAGTACCCAGCTCACAACCATCTGTAAGTGCATCTCCAGGGAATCCGATGCCCTCTTCTGGCCTCCATGGGCATCAGGCACAAGTTGTACACACACATAATTCTGACAAACGCACATAAATGATCTTTAAATTAAAAAAAAGTAAATGTAATAATCTCATTTGCTATTTTTCCAATGGGGAGGAGAACACACTGGACGAGGGCATGAGAGGAAGGGAGAAGCCCTATTATATATATCCCCAGTCCAAAGATGGCAGTAGCTGAGATAAAAAGTGCAGGTTAAGAAGTACAGCAATGGTCGGGTGTGACTGCACATGGGTCAATAGCATCTACCCTACCTTGCTATAGCTGCACAAGCTACCTGTGCCCGGGGATAACAGTTCATAACACAGTGGTGGCTGGCACGGAGAACAGGGACCATTGCTGCCAGCAAAATCTCTGTATAATCTGGGACAAAACAGTTACATCCTTGCGCTTCTCACGTAAAAATGCAGTCACCTGTTTTGAAATCACTGTAATAGCTACAACATGGAGAGCAACCCCCCTGACCTCCCAGGCGGACACAACCAGCTGCAGATTCTGTCCCTGGCTCTTCTGTCCCCTGAGCAGACTGTCTCCTAGCTAGGTTGGTCTCCAGACCCAGTTCGGAAACCAGTGCCTCAGTTTACCCGTCCGCACTCGAATCGATGCGGCCGAAGGGCTTCCTGCCCCAGGCCCGGAAGCTCCAAACTCGGTTCGCGGCCTCCTTTGGTTCACGTTCCGGGGGCTGGGACTGGGAACTGCCTGACTCCAGCCACGCGGCCGCCTCACCCTTCTCACCCCTCTCAAAGTCCATCTCCTCCAGCGTCTGCTGTACCCCGGGCACCGCACCGGGGTGCGAACAACAGGAGCCGTCCGCGCACGGTTGCGGCGCCGCCATCTCCGCTGCCAGGTTTGCAGCCGGGCTCCCCTACAAAGTGCCCACCCTCCGTCCCAAAATGACCACTTGGAGTCCGTAGTTGACCTCCGAGTTCCGCCCTCTCACCCGGACCGACCAATCCGACGCTTAAACCTTAGCTTAGCAACCAATGACAGTAGCGAGGAGGGCTGGATGGGTTGGGTCTTGCTGCTCTGCCACCACGAGAGGGCGCCCGAGGCTAACTAAGCACAAGGAGGCTCAGAGGTGCAGGGTTCTGCTGCTGCGCGCCCCGGAGGAGGCGGGACGGTTCTTGCAACCGCGCCTTGTAGGGTGTGGGACCAAGCAGCTTAGCCCGCCAGGCAGTGTTTACGTCGCATTCGCCGGAACCGAGGCCTCGCGGGCTCCCCAGGGCACAAGGACCCTGGACGCCGCCCACAGTCCTCATCCCATCTTCCCGGCATCAACTGACCAACGGGCCGTCCATGGGCAATGCAGCGACTGCCAGAAAGTCACTAACACCCTGACCTCGTTCCTTAACAATCCTGTGGGAAGCAGGTGGTCTGAGGGCAAGGACCTTTGAGCTTAACCCTCCGCCCCCTCCATGGTCACTGACTGCCAACATAAGCTGGGCTAACGTCTGAGCTAAGGGAGACACAGTCAAGTATGATCCAGCTTTCTGACCCACACTCAGGGAAACCAGGACAGCAGTCTGCTCAAGCTGCAGTCAAGTGTAAAGAGGGTGGGGGACACTGGAGGGGGTGGTGCTCACTACTGTGGTCTCTGTCCCTATGCACGGGTTAGATTTATCTAAACCAGTCGTGTCCAAATTGCAGTTAACAATAGCATCGAATTCTGCACAAAAGATCTTAAGACGTCATTTCTTTTCTTCTTTTCTTTTCTTTTTTTTTTCTATTTTCCTTTTTGAAACTCGATTGCCGGGCAACTCCCATCAAGGGCACTCAAAAATGAATCCAGGCTGGGCCTGTTATTTTTCCCAGTAACATCTGGGCCTATACTACCTCATTAGAATCAGGGCTTGGAACTTTCTGGGTGGCAGTAGACTATCTTTCCCTTTCCCTACATAGATGGGACAACAGAAAGCTACAAGTAGTTCCTCCTTCCACTGAGCTTGTCCTGGGCTCCATCTTCATAAAAACGCTGCCTCCACAACCTTGAGACGTTTTAAGGAGGTCCCCTCCCTCAGACCCCTCACCCCTGCTCACCCTCCCTGGAGTTCTGGGAAGACAAACCCCTTCTCCTACTCTTCCCCCAGTGCTGACTTTTCCCTGTGGCACCAGGCCAAGTCTGGCTCCCAAGAGGATGTAGCCCTGGTCTGGTTCCCAGTCCCATAGGCACCAGTGTGGGAAAACACTTGAGTCTCAGCTGGCCCCTCCAGAGAGGGGGCACAGACAGACTATGATGGGCCAGCCCAAAGGATGGTTCCCTTTTGGCTCAATAGATAGGTTTTAGTCAAAATATCTGAGCACCAGAGTTAAGTTTCATTTTCTCCATTTTATTTGTCAATATAAAAATACTCAAATATTTACAACAAATAAATATGTGGAGACACAATAAGTTACACTGTTAGGAGCCCTTTTCCTGGAGCTGGGAGAGGATACGCCAGTATCCACAGCATGCCCACTCTCCCTTCCCTCCCCCCAACCTTTCCCAGCCCTGTCGGAAGAGCGCAAGTATAAAATACCACTGAACCCAGAGGCCAAGTGGGAGGCCCTGCCCACCCTTCCCCCTGAAACAGGAGGCTCCATCTCCCTCCCCCACCCGCCCTGAAAACATTCACAGCCCTAGGATCAGGACTAGGCCCACCCCTGAGTCCTGCACTCCCCCCAGAGGGGTACAGCACCCTGTCCACCCATCCCCATCTGTACATCACTGACCCAAGCTCGGGACAGGTGGGGGTAGGAGAGGCAAAGTGGTATGACCCCCTTCCCCTTCATAGCTCCAAAGACTCACCAGGAGGACCCCAGGCCAAGGGAAGACTTAACAGAGACACACCTAGACACACACACATACAACACACACCCCTCCATACATACACGCACCAACACATATATGCACAAACACCCATATCTTGAAACTTCTGCCTTGCAAAGTTTTGGCTGCTGGGGTCCCACAATGTCTGAAATTCACAGAGGAGGGCGTGGCCTCCTGTGAGGCTGATGCCCTGGTGAGCCACACCAAGTGGCAGTGCCCATGCTGAGCAGGTCCTCATGGCTGGGCAAATGCTGGGCAGTGTCTGTCCCAGGCAGAGCAAGTGCCCCTGCCATGTCCCTGAGGTAGCTGGTGCCTGTGCAAAAGTAAGGGTGCACCTCCCACGAGACCCTCGCCAATGAGGTGGGTGGGGGGGCTCCCCTCATACTGAGGACTCCTCTGGGTTGGAGTCAGGCAGTGGCTGGCGCTGCTGAAGTTTCCGCCGCAGCTCATCCGCGAGCTCGGGCAGTGGATGCCCAAGTCCTCCTCGGTCCTCCCCTCCCAGTTGTAAGCGCACATAGCCATTGGCGTTTGAGTTCCGACCTCCCCCTAGGTGAAGCCGAGTGGGAGAAGGCAGGGGCTGGCCAGGTATGCCAGGAGGTGGTGAAGGGGGCCCACCCCCGGGCTGGCACCGGGCGTGACCAGGCACAATCTTGAGAGAGCCGTCTGAATAGTAGTAGCCAACGGGATCCCAAAGTTTCTCATCTGTTTCGGGGCCAGGGCGGAAGGGGGGACTGGTTGGTTCCTTGGGCAGTTCTAGTGGGTACACCAATGTCCTCTCAGCTGCCTTGGCACCTTTTTCTAGCTCTTCTCGAAGTCGCCGACGAAGTGATAAAACCAACAGCAGCAACACCAGGCACACAGCCCCCAGAGCCACCACAGCTAGCCATACAAGCCCCAGGTTTTCCAGGGGAGCCCGGGCCTCCAGGGTCACTGACGGGCCAGCCACGACAGCAACAAGGTAGCTTTCTGCAGGCAGTCTTGTCCCCTGCTCCTCCGAATAGCAGTGATAGGGCCCAGCATGGCGGGGCTGGGCAGCCATCACTACCAGCGCCTGGAGTCCTGTGTCATAAAGGAAGGAGCCAGGTTGTTCGGCAGGCAGGTCCCGGCCTCTGAAGGTCCAGCGGGCATGGGCCAAATTTGACAAGAGGTGGCAGGGCAGAACCAGGTCTGTCCCCGCCACTACGGTGATGTTCTTGGACGCAGATCGAACTGCAGAGGTAAAAATGAGAGAGAACTGGGTGTTAACACAGGAAACCCAGAGCCAACAGCAGGAGGAGATATGCCAACTCTGGCTGCGGTTGGGGGGGTATCCCCAAAATGAAGGAACAGAGAAAAACGGCTCACCTTTCTTAATGCCATACTGGTTACACATCTTTGAGGAGTCCAAGTTTGTCACGTGTTGGATCAGAAGGGAGCTGGTAGGGAAGGGAGAGAACATTGGCAGTCCTGCTAACCACCTTGGCCTCCCTTCCTGGCCCTGGCACTCCTCACGGATTGCCCGACTCACCCTGGGTGACCAACGGTGGTGGCCACGCATCGGCTGGTGTTGACATTCCAGGCACAGTAGGGATCCCGGGCAAGGACACAGTCTGCACAGAAACGGTACTTTGTGCAGTCATTCAGGGGCAACTGGACCAGCTGAGAGCGGGAGCCAGCGAAAAGCACCCTCTGCAAAAAAATCAGACAAAGGGTGAGCCTTTGAGAGGCACAGGCAGAAAGAGAGCTTGGATCTGTGCAGGGAGCAGGAACGCGCTAGGGACCAAAGGAAGAACGCAGAAGAAAAATCCAGGCCGGAGGAACAAGCTTGATGAGAGCTGAGCCAGCACAATCCTAATCACAGTATAGACATGACCTTATTAGACAAGAACAGCAGACCCGGGAGGCCAAGGTATACGCACACCCGCTCACACACACGCACACTTGCTCAAACACACACATGCACACTTGCTCACACACACACACGCTTGCTCACACACACACCTGCACACACACAGTTCAGGAAACGCTCTCCTCCAGCCCTAGGAGCCGGCACAATAACGGGCCCATCTAAGGCGTTTCCCTCTGCCTGAATGGTGACTGCCAATCTGTATATTTACTCAGCCCCACACTTTCCTTGCTGCCATTTCATTATTCAGTGATCAAGGGAGCAACTTTGAGTCACAATAGCTGCTAAAAGGCAAACAAATCAAAGTCCAGAGGGTGCTGGGAATATGCCAGTTTTGCATAAAGGTTTGAAAAAAAAAAAAGCAAATGCTTCAAGGAAATGATCCAGAAGATTGAGGACCTGGCTCAGAGACCCACTGGGGACTGGAAGAAAACTGATGTCCCTGTTACATGGGTACCAAACATACTTTAGAGCCTGGGAGGTCTGGTCAACCACAGTACGGAAGGGCCTTAAGAACACATGAGAATATGAGGGCACTAGCCAAGGCTAGATTCTGGGAATGGGGGTCCCATGGGAACTGGCTTTATGTAAGAACCCTTGGAGGGTAGGTTCCAGTACAGTCCGTTAATGCTCTTACATCCTGAAACTCGCAAAAGCTAAGAGAGGGGCTCTGAGCTGGCCAATCACATGTGCCCAACTAGGGAAGGCAAAAAGCCTGGGTGAGGACTAGATGGTGCGGCACTGAGCGGTGCGGCACTGAGCAGTGCAGCCCGTGTGGCCCATCCTACCTTGCTCCGGGACAGCACCAGACTCTCCACCGGCTCCTGGTCAAACACCTGCAGCTCCTCTATCATGTGGACCCAGGACCCCAGGCTCACAGCCTTCAGCAGCCAGCCGTCTCCTGGAGAGGGGATGAGGAGGGTGTGTAAATGAGGAGGCCCTCGGGGCGTCCCCAGGCTCCCAGGCTTGGGTACACCTGGAAAAGTGCCTACCTGTACCAATGAACAGCACTGTATAGGTGGCGCCATCGAGTCCTGTGACCCTGTCGGCCACCACGTGTGTGAAGTTCGTGTTCTTCTTCACAAGCAGGGGGCGGCCCAACCGAGGCCTCACCTGCTCCTCCATCAGCGGGTGCTTCTTGATGAAGTTGAGGATGTTGTCTGGCAGCTCCAGAGAACTGGTGTAGCCATTGTGGCGGTGCCAATTGTTGATGCACTGTGCGGGGCGGGGGGTGGGGGGGGAGCTGTCAGCTGGATGAAGGAATGGGTCCTGCAGAGGATACTGGGTGCACAGCCCCATGCTGAAGACTCACCGAGCCAGGCCGAGGGCTGGGTACTGGGTCAGTATAGCGGGCCCACTTCTGGGCCTGCTCGCTGTACTCTTTGTAGGGGCCCTCGAACACCTGTTGGATCTGTTCCAGCTGGTACTCACAGACTGCTGACAGGTCCATATCGCCCCTGTTACAGCAAAGGAAGGACCTCAAAAGTCAGGTCTGGTACTTCTTTGCCCACACCGTACCCTGGCATCAGAGGAAGCACTATAAAGGCAGGGCTCAGTATAGAGTAGTCATGGTCATAAGGTGGCTCTGAGGTTCACCTGAGGCGGTTTCTGCTCCCCGCCCCCCCACAGAGCTTTAAAAAGAGCAGGCCAGAATGATCTTGGCTACCAGGACCGACCCGCTGGACCTCCTCCAGAGGTCTGTGCAAGCCTCACGCCCACATACCACCCCCGACCTGACCGCCACCTGCTCCTCAGAGCCCCAGCCACCCCAGAGCCACTTACCATCGCGCTTGAAACACCCCAAAGAAGGTGGTGTTGTGCCAAGAGGTACCCAGCAGGGTGTGCACTGCCCGGAGCTGGTTGAAGTACACCTTCCACTCCGGGGCCGAGCACACCAGCTGTGCTTTCAGGAACGTTGTCCACTTCTTCTGCAGGGTCCGGGCGCCCCCCATGTCGCCCTGGTGGATGGCAAGGAGACACGGCTACTTAGCCCCTGCCCAGCCCTCGGGGCTCCCGCCGCCCACTGCTGCAGAACTTGGTACCTTACAGACGCGAGCCACGCGAGCCACCACCTGCTCGGCGTAGCAATCGTACTCCACTGCCCGCTCGCTGAAGAAGAAGTAGACCTTGTCATCGTCCCCCGTGAAGCTCCCCACACTCTCAGGGACATAGGCAGAGCCTACGAAGTGGGGTTCTGGGGCAAAGCAAGGAGGGTCAGTGGCAGGGTGCCAGGGCCTTGCAAGGCCCTTCCCCTCTTGGCTTCCCCGGTCCCACTCCATAACACACCATTTAGCCAAAACGCCAGGTACTCGGTCTTGATGGAGTGGTGGGGCCCCATGTTCCGCAGGATAACAGGCTCGGTACCCAGGAAGTTGTTGAGCGTGGCTGAGAACAGCTCACCATCTACGGATAGGAGACAAACGGCGGGTCAACCAAGCTAGAAAAGTAAGGTTCAGACAGATGTACTCTGGAGACAAGCCGACCAAGTCCCCAAAGATCCGCCCTGTCCCTACTGGAGGCAGCCACTCACCCACAAGGAGTCCAGTGTGGCCCTTAGCTGGGTCATAGGGACATTTCCCCTTCCCGTCTTCAAATTCTCCACGCTCCAAGGTGAAAGTGAGCATGTCCTAGGAGCAGGAAGATAGAGAAGACAGGCATTAATACAGGGGCCTGCACGGCCCGAAAAATCACGGTCTGGGAGTACAAGCGAGGAAGTCACAGAGGTCAGGGACAGGTGGGTAAGGGGCACACCCAAAGGGGAGGGTAACACTCACGATGTAGGTGCACTTGGGCTGGAAGGCATAGGTACCACAGACGTATAGGTGGGAGGCATTGTATGGCTGAAGGAAGCGGATGAAGTTGAAGCACTCGGTCTTCAGAGAGAAAGGTATACAAGTTAGTGAGAATGAAGAGGCAGGGATACAGGATCACTAGGGTCCAGAAAGGAGAGCATTCCACAAAGGCCTGGCAGGGGAAGTGCCCTGAGAGCCCACCTGGTTGCTCTTCCCTTTCTGGGTACACTCAATCTTCTTCTCAGCCGGGGCCTCCCAGGAGATCTGAGGACCGGAAAGGACACATCAGAGATGTCTCAGGCACATGTGAAGTGTGTGTGCTACAAACACAGCTTGAGCTACACCGTGGGGCCATCTGGTCCCCATTCTGACACAAGCCCCAAACCTATCCCACCTGGAGGAACCCAGAAGGGGAGAGCAAGTGCTAATCCTGATACCAAGAGAGACCTCCAGGCTGTGGGACAGCCTGCCCAGGCCACAGGCCACACACCCCCCAGTCCTGTGTGCCTCCCGCTGCCCCACCTCTCACCACGCCTTGCAGCTCCAGAGCCTCTACGCTGAAGGCAAACAGCGCCTCTCGAGCCCCCACATATAAAAGCCCAGAGTGCTCCCTCAGGGTCAAGGTCAGGAAGTCCTGGATGCCCGTCTGGGAGAACCGCCTCACTACTGTGGCCAACTCTGTAGAAACAGGGACAAGAACAAGGTAGGAATGAACAAGGGGTGAGTGGCAGCCTCCCCGGGGTTCCAGGAGTCCCCTACATCAATCTTCCTTTGTCCAAAGGTCCCCTGGGCCTCATCATCACTGCTCTCCGCAAAAGCTAGCACCACACACACAGACGACAGCCAAACCCCTACTGGCCATAAAGAACTTTTTCTGAATAGACTTGGACTCGATAGCTCCACCCTCCCCGGGCTTCCGAAGCCCCTCTTCACCGTCTGGGAGGAGGCAATCTGGGCTGGTATAGGGGAAGGAAGGATATCTCAGCCAAAGCTTCCGGCCAGAGGAAGCCATCTGACTGATGTGAGGGCTCTCACTCAGGGTCAGCGGTACCTCAGGCACAGAGTTGGGCGCTTCCCCCACCCTGGCCTCCTCAGCTCCCATTTCCTCCTTTGCTCTGCTACTTGCTGACCACATCAGGGTCCAGCAGACCCTGGCGGCAGAGTCAGGGGGGCAGAAGGCACAGAACAGTTGTGAGCATTCCTTGTCTAAGAAGCCATTTACGCCAGCAGGCACCCGTCCAGGCTTCCGGAGATGCAAGCACAGATGGGTATGGGGCTGGCAAGGTGGCATGTGGGGAAAGGGAAAGAAGTTAGGACTGGGAGGGCAAGGGGACCAGAGACTCAGAGATCTGAGTTGGTGTTGAAGCCTGAGAAGCTGTGCTGCCGTCCGGCACATGTAGTGCATGATCACACATCTGTCAGAGGACCACAGCTCTGCCCCCCTGCCCACAGGGCCAGGCACTTAAGCCAGCCTCAGTCTTTGGAGGCAATGACCAGCCAGAGCTGGGTCGGCACGGGAGGGGCTTCATTAGCAGCTGAGTGCAGCCTGTGGGAGGTGAGCTCATCCCAAGTCCCAAGAGCCCATGGATGATACAAACACCTGACATCACCTCTCCATACAGGTGTGTGTGTGTGTGCAAAGGAGCGCTGTCTGCTCGGCTCTGCCTCCTCCCCCAGCAAGCACAAGCACTTATATACACCCACCTAGAACCACCAGGCGGCTCCAGTGTTGGGGCCCCGCAGGGGAGGACCATTAGATGAATTAAGGGGCTTTTGGGGACAGTCAGCTAGGAGGACTGGAAATGGGGTTAGGCTTACACTTGCCCTAGAACTTGGGGTTCAGGTTTCTCTCTCTAGGCTTCCAAGCACTAGTGACAATTCAAGTGAGGAACAGGGAGGGTGACCCCGAAACTACCTCCCTTGCACACCGGGACAACCAAGTCTGGGTTGGGGTTGGGGGTGGAGATGGTGGTAAGAGATCCCAAAGAGTTATCCCAGCGTCAGATGGGGGCAAATCCCAGGTTCTGACCTGCACTACCAGTTCTGGGTCCCTGGGGCCACTCACATTTCTTAGAAAGCCACAATCACACCTATCAGTATAAAGTATGCATGCTTGGGGGGATAATTTTCTCAGCAGCTGCTCCTTCCTTCAAGCAAGCATCCCCTTCTTCCCCCAGCAGTCCATTCCTGCCTCCCTCTGGCCCTGCCTCCCATGCTTCAAGCACTCACCCCCAGAAGATACTGTCTTCCGGGGCACAAGGTTCCACCACACCTCAGCCCCAATGCCCAGGCCCCACAGCCCTGCTGCCAGCAGCCAGACAGCCCAGTGCGGGGCCATGGCAAACACCCGGGCTCTAAACTTCAGTCCAGCAGCCCTGCTGAAGGAAAAGAAACTGGTCAGCATCACAGACCGGAAGGGGGCCAGCACCAAGAGGCACGCCGCACAGGGCGCACATTTGAACACAACTCCCCTGGAGCTCCTGGAGCTCCCCCTGCTCCCTTTTTTGGAGCAGACCTAGTTTCAGCAACTGGCCTCTGCCCCCAGGGACCCTGGGGGTCTCTTCCAGAGGAGCAGGGAGGAGCTGAGTCAGCAGGCACTAGGCGTGGGCAGTCATCAAAAAGCCTTCTATGGCCTCCAGGCCATCCCTACTCCCTCTCAACAGGGAGTTGTGCAGATAAAACAAAAAGGTTTTAGAACAATCTTAAGAAACAGGACCTGCTACCTGGACTCTGGCCAGGCCCAAGACCTAATTCGGGGAGGTATACCCCTTATTCGGCAGAGGCAAGCAGGCGGTTGGGCAAAGACCCCCAGTGGGGGACTTGGTGCAGCCGCCAGCGTGCAGAGTTCCCGGCCCCAGCCTGTCCCCTCCCCCAGCGCAGACAATAGCCGGGCAGAGCCCAAACCCGGTTCCACATCAGCAGGGCTAGAGTAGGAGTGGGGCCGGGAACCAAAAGGGCCCAGCTTCCCGAGGCCCCTTTGTTGCCCAAGAGGGAGGCAGGAAGTGGGTGGGATGGGCGTGGAAATGACCAGGGCCAGTCCTGTTCTTCCAACAGCCTTCTACGAGACAGTGACCCTCCATCAGAGAGGCGGCGGGGCAACGAGTCGGCTCAGGGCGTATGGGGATCTCCTCACCGCGACGGGAGCGGAATCGTGGAAGGAAGTGAAATGGGTTTGGGAGGCCAAAGGGGGTTTCTCCTGGAGCACTGGGTATGCCCACGAATAGCCCTCGAAGGCTGTGTGTCCCCCCTCGCCACTCCCCGCTCCTCGGCTCTGACGAACGTTCTTAACTCGGGGATTGCACCCCGGGGACCATGGCCTAGGCACTAGGCCAACGTGACTGATTTTCACTAATCCACACGCTCCGGGCCGGGAACAGAGATGCAGAATCTGGGAATTTCACTCCAAAACAAAGGTTCCAAGCCAAGACCCTGTCCAGGTCTCCCTACTGAGGACTCTCCCCTCCCCCAGCTCCGGGGATTTGAATGCAAACAAAGCAGTGGCGCTGGGAGCGTGGCAAAACCAGGCTTGAGGACGCCCCCTGTCGGCCCAGAACCCCTGCGCGGGAAGGCGGGGTGGGGGTGGGGGACTGGGGCTGCCTTCCCCCCGGGCAGCCCCCATGACACACCCTCAGCTTCCCCTCTACCAATTACCCTACGCTGGGGTCAGAACCCGGTGGCGTGCTCCGAGAATCCGCCCGCGTACCATGACCCAACCCCCAGCTCTTTCCAAGGCTAGGGACGCGGACAGCCAGGGGGATGGAGGGGTGCAGAACCAGGATTTGCGCCGCACTCGCACACACGGAGCAGCAGATCGTGGATCGCAGCGCTCCAAAGCGGGACAGTGCGGCTACGCTCGGATGAGGGGGCTGGTTCTCAATGCCAGCCCGCCTCCCTAGCAGAACAGGAGGGCGGGGGGCCGCGCTAGGGAAATCCGATTCCACAACATCGGCCACGGTCCAAGCCCGCCCCAAACTTTCCGTCGAGGTGGGGGAACCGGAGCAGCTAGCGAATCTGGCAAAAATCCGGACCGCGCGCCGGACAGCCCGAGGGTCTCCCACTGCCCCTAGCTCCGCACCCTAAGGCGCCCGCCGATCCGGCCACTGGAGCTGCAGACACAGCTTGCGTTACTGCTGATCGTCCGCTGGGCAGCCCGCGGAGGACTCGGTAGGGACCCGGATCGGACAGCTGTCTGCGCTGCCGCCCCACCCTGCACCCCAGACACTGTCCCCTCGCGTGCGCGCCGGCCCCTACCCGAGCCGTGGGGACAAAGCAGCAGCTCTGGAGCCCCAGAGCTCTGGCCTCACTCACCTCTTCCGTGCAGCTCGAATCCCTGGGCGCCGCCCTCGCGTTCGGCTCCGGCCACGGTCCTCCCCTATCCCCGCGCCGTTCCAGCCCGCGTGCGCCCGCCAGCACGCTTAGGCTGTCCAGCGCCACCGCCCCTCGGTCCCAGCACCGCTCTCGGCGCCCCTAAGCTCGGGGTCCGTGCTCTACCGCGCCGGGCGCCGATTCTTTCTCCGCTGCTGCCTCTGCTCTCCGCCCCCAACCCCCTGACGTCAGGCAAGGAGGGTGTCGAGTGGTGGCCGGGGGCGGGACGCGAAGGCCCGCCCAGGAGGGGGCTGCGACCCGCAGCCCTTACTTGCCCATCGCTGAGGCTTGGGGACCCTTGAGACTCTGGCCTCCCCGGAGTCAAGGTCTACGCCCTGGCGCCCGGAGGGAAGGGTGCGGGGAGGGACTTCAGGCATTGCCACCGGGAACCACACTCACCTGGTCTTCCCGAAGTGTGCCTTCAAGCCTTGCGGCGGGCTGGGCTCAGGAAGGACTGAGGGGTTCCCCCCACGCTCCAGTTACAGGAACGAAAGCTGGCAAGCCATTTTGGGATGCGTATCCGAAGGGAGGGGAGCAACGGAAGAAACTGAAGGTTCTCCAAGGGGCTAACCACAGTGGTCAGTCTTTTGACTCCGAAATCGTTCTTCTTTCTGGCCCTAACCCTTAGGCTGGTAGGAGCGGCTCACAGGCAGAGAAGACCCCCAAGTCTCCAGGCTGCTCCTTGTTTCCAGGCTCCAGCAGAGCCTACCACCAGGAAATGATCCCTGGTACCACTTGAAAGGTTGATTAACAAGTGGCATGAGCCCTTCTGTTCAGATGAAAGGGGCTGAAGGGAGCCACGCTGGGAACCACTACCACCTTCAGAACTGCCAGCCTCCGCCCACAGCCGCTCCTAGATAACTTGTAGCTTTGGCCTCCTGGGCCCTGCTGGATGGGCAAGTCCTCTTTCCAGCCAGCTGGCCCTCGCGCTAGGCAGCTGGACAGAACCTTGGGGAAGCTGCTTCACCGGTACCCGGAGACCACCCCTAGCCAGAGTTAAAGGACAATCGGGAATGAAGGAAAGTCGAGGCCAGGAGACTTCTGTGGTAACTTTAAGCCCCTGGGGCAGTCCTAGAGAGAAGCAACACTTTAGACCCCATCAGCAGATCTGGAGTGTAAATCAGTTCGACAGCAGCCTTTATTCTGGGTTAAAACTTGGCATCTGAAAGTGGAGACCAGAAGGACAGTGGGGATAATGGAGAAAGGCAGCCCAGTTGGGTTTCAGTAACAATTGAGTCTTTGCTAGGACACAGAATGGCCCCTTCTCCCTCACTGGCCAGAGCCACATTTCCCAGCTTCTTTCCAGTAGGAAACAAAGCTGGGGCCTTGGAGATGCTGGAGATAGGAGGCAGGCCAGCTACTATCAGGGGTGGGCAGGGAATGTTCCCTGTTGGAGCTGGCCAGAGATGAGCCATTCAGACCCCTCCTTTTGGTCAGCCTCAGTTTCCATCTAAATAAGGGTAAGCTGCTACACAGACTTCCAGGCTTCTGTACTGTTGTTCTGTGCCCCTGGCTTTAGAACCTGCTGTCAAATTTCCTCAGGCCATGCTCAGGACCTTTACAGACTGGGTATCCTCAGCCCTAGGAGGCTGACACAGGACTTCCAGGCCAGTGACTGTTTCTCTCATCTTATCAGAAAGATTAAGCAAGATCTAAAACTGACTCAAATTCACATAAACAGCAAGGTAAAAATTGTGAATGGGGCCTTGGAGTGATGGCGGGAGCCTGTGGTCCCAGCTGCCTGGGAAGGTGGAGGTAGGAAAGTTGTGAGCCCATGAGTTCATGTCCATGTCCACCCTGGGCTCCCTAGTGAGACTGTCTCAAAAAAAAAAAAAAAAAAAAGGAAGTTGAGTTCCGTGATTCCCATTCCTCTTTCTAGCAGTCACCATGCACACCGCTAATGCTCCACTTCCTGTTCTTTTCTCTCTCTCCTCTAAGTCTTGCCCACCAGGAAGGAGCGCTGCTAGGCAGTGACCTGAGCTCCCTGGCTCTACCTCCACGGTGGCCCCAGTGGAAAGTTTCAAAAGGTTTGGGTTTCACTGGCAGGGACAGCATTCTGCACCTTCATGGCAGGTGTCAGGGTCTTCTAAGCCAGGGATGGAGGTGGAAAGAAGACTGCTCCAGTAACGGCCAGAAAGCCCCTCCCTGCCAGGCTCCTCACCGATAGGGCTCCACCCCCACCTCACCCCCCACCTCTGTGCATTCCCTGCCATGCTCGGTTTACCGCCTTGGGTCTTCTCCACAGGTGGGTGGGCAGAAGATGAAGTTTCCTGCATGACTCTTGCTCGTGATTCATGCTTTTTAATAAAAGGACAGCTGGCAGAAAACTAAGGATTCTGGATCTTACATCAAGAAAAAAAAAATAGTAACACTAAAAAAAAAATAAAAGAAGAAAGAAAAAGAAAAAAAAAAGATAAGGCTACATAGCTGTGTAATCTCCCTAGGCCTGCCCAGCATAGCCTATGGAAGGCATCACACCCTGATCCTTATTCCAGCCTGACAGAGCAGACCCCGCTCTGTGCCCCACACCCCTTTTGCTATAGCTAAAATGCTTGTGGTCAACTAAAGGAAACAAGACAAGTTAAACGCCCACCCTCCCGGACCCACTGAGTTCAAGCTGACCTTTGTAGAGCCCAATATTGGTCATTAAACACAGTACTCCGCTTTTTACCAACCACCCCTCCCAAGCTAAGTGGCAAGAGGAAGGCCCAGAGTGTGCACTGGGGGTCTCTAGTCAAGGCCTCCTTGAACCTGGACCATTTCCAAGGTAGCCGGAAGTCTCCCCACAGGTGGGAGAATGAGAAGACTAGGGTGGGCCATCTTTCGAGGAGCTCTCTGTGACCCAGGGAACTGGGACATAGGAAAAGGACTTCCTTGGTCTACTTCCTCCAAAGGGAGAGTTATCAAAGCTGTCCACCTGGGGAGCCTTTCCCTTCCCAGCCCCTCCCTTCCAGCATCACCAAAAGGAAGCAGGAAAACATCCGTCATCACAGCCCAGGATACTGCTTTTCCAGCGGCTTCTACCAGGATATCCCCTGCCTTTTCCCAGGGGCTTAGGGTCAAAAACCTGGAGGGCAAATGGTGAAACAGCTTCATTCCAGAATTCTTGGCCTGGAAGAGGCTCCGTTTCCAACTGATCCCAACCCAGGATTGGTCAGCACCCAGTCAGTCCCAGAGCAGGACAATTACATGACCCAGGGGACAGTGTCCACCCTTGAGTGACCTTACATCGCATACCTCTGCTCAGGTTACAGCAGCCTTCTGGGAGGGACTGAGAAGTCCCCAACACTGCCTCCTCCTCTCTGCTGTATCTATTTCTCTCTCAGGGATGGGTATGTTTGTGGAGTAAGGAGCCAGGGAGGACTCCAGATGTCTACACTGACGGACACTTTGATCCCTTTTCTTAAAGCCAGGTAAGGGCAGCTTCAAGAACTGGAAACTCCCCAGTTCAGCCTCTCAGGTCTTCCTACCCCCTCTCTGCCCTTGGCAATGAGAACAAAAGAGGGAGATTTCAAGGTGATTTCCAGGTTTCCAGAGCAAACCCAGTTACTGAGGATTAACTGCCAGGATGTACAGTGTCAAACAGCAGTGCCCAGAGGCAGGGTGAAACGGGCTAGCTCTCCAAAGTCCCTGCCTGCCTGTCAGAGAGCTGAGGATGACCTGCTT